CAAGGAAATCTAATCGATTCTGAAATAGAACAAATTTAGTTTTTTATATTGGAATTTTTCATGCAAGATTAGGGGAAGCATCGAAATCCAATTTTTGAACATATTTTAATAATTGGATTTTAATTTGATATTAGGGGAAAGCTTCAAAATCAATTTTTTGTTTTTTTTCCATTAGATTTCAAAAGGAAATCTAATCGATTTTGAAACAGGAAAAAAAACAAAATGATATTAGGGTTTAATATAAGGGAAAAGCTTCGACATCCAATTTTTTGGCCATATTTTATTTAATTTTTAAAAGGAAATCTAATCGATTTCGAAATAGAAAAAGATTCATAGTTTTTTATGTTGGGGGTTTTTATTTGATATTAAGCTTCGGAATCCACTTGTTTGCCATATTTTAATTGGATTTAAAAAGAAAGAAATCTGATCGATTTTGAAATAGAAATATGTGTATATATATATATATGTGTGTTTTTTATCAGTATTAGGGGGAAGCTTCGTACCCTAATACTAAAGACCCCCCCCAATACTAAAAACTCCTCCAGGTGTTTGTTATTTGGGTGGGTGGGTGAAGGGGCGACTGTTTAGCAACAGGGGGAAGGGATTAAACTGTTTTTTGTTTCTAATTTCAAAATCCATGAAAATAATCTTTAAATAGAATACTGCCAAGAATAGGATTTCGAAGCTTTCGCCTAGTATCAAATAAAACACCAACACCTGAATTAAAAAAACTGAAATTGACGATTTTAAAGGACGGACCCCAATAAAAGACACCCCGGTGTTGACTAGTTCCCCACCTGCCAGGTGAGGGTTGTTAGATTTTATGTCAGTTGCCTCCTCCTGCCTCGTCCTCCTCCTCCTCCTCCTCTCCTCCTCTCCTCCTTGTCCTCCTCGTCCTCCTCGTCGTCCTCCTCGTCCTCGTCGTCCTCCTCGTCCAACTGCGACCCGCGATCCACAGTGTTCTCTGTCGGACCTCAACCACGACCATCCACGCCCAGTGTGCCCTGCCGGACCTCAACCACGACCATCCGCGCCCAGTGTTCCCTGCCGGACCTCAACCGCGAGTATCCGGGCCCAGTGTTCCCTGCCGGACCTGAACCACGACCATCCACGCCCAGTGTTCCCTGCCGGACCTCAACCGCGAGGATCCATGCCAAGTGTTCCCTGCCGGACCTCAACCGCGAGTATCCACGCCAAGTGCTCCCTGCCGGACCTCATGTAGGAAGATATGGGACAAAGAATGTGCAGAAGAAAGTTAGAAAGAATGTCAGAAGATATGCCAGATAGAATGCCAGATAGAATGCCAGAAGATATGTCAGAATATATGCCAGAAGATATGCCAGATAGAATGCCAGAAGATATGTCAGATAGAATGCCAGAAGATATGTCAGATAGAATGCCAGAAGATATGCCAGATAGAATGCATCAGATTTGCCAGATAGAATGCCAGAAGATATGCCAGAAGATATGTCAGATAGAATGCCAGAAGATATGCCAGATAGAATGCCAGAAGATTTGCCAGAAGATATGCCAGATAGAATGCCAGAAGATATGTCAGAATATATGCCAGAAGATATGCCAGATAGAATGCCAGAAGATATGTCAGATAGAATGCCAGAAGATATGCCAGATAGAATGCATCAGATTTGCCAGATAGAATGCCAGAAGATATGTCAGATAAAATGCCAGAAGATATGCCAGATATAATGCCAGAAGATTTGCCAGATAGAATGCCACAAGAAAATGCCAGAAGATATGCCAGATAGAATGCCAGATAGAATGCCAGAAGATATGTCAGATAGAATGCCAGAAGATTTGCCAGTAAGAAAATCTATAAATGTCATGGTGGGGATCACACGAAGTAAAGTAATTTTTTATTCTTTGGGGTGAAACCCTCACATGGTACCTTCATTTTTAAAATTGTTTCCTCAAGGGGATCAATTAAAAATCAAATTAACCAATTTGACATTTCCCAAAATTGGAAATCGCACCTAGTTTTTGTCATTTGGGGGTATTTTTCGTAATAGGGAGAAAGGATTAGCAAAAGAATGCCTGATCAAAATGATGCTGATTCTGTGTGTTACAATCTTTTTGCCCACTACAGTGTCTACAGGGTTACAAGGGATGCCGTGCCAGCTAGAGTCCCAAGTCCATTCAACCAACACCCTAATCGATGAAGTTGGACTTGTTGAAATGGAAGTGGGACTGGACCAGTTGACATGGGGCGATGCTGACCTTCAACGGGAGCTTCGGCGCCTGAAGGACAACAGTTTGAAAATTCCGAACCTGAAATATATTTTCAAAATTGCCTTACTAAGAGTGATCCCCACCCTGACACACTATTCTGACATAGTTTCTGACATATCATCTGGACGATATGTGGCATATATGTTCTGACATACTATCTTACATTCTTTTCTGAGATTCGATTTGACATTCTTTCTGGCATCCTATCTGGCATCTATTCTGACATACTTTCTGGAATATACTATATTCTGATCCTGCCTTGCCATGAGTTTGGGCTGGGAGTGCTTTTATTTGCGTGGATCAATGCCAATGGCTTGAATATCCACCAAATGTTGGTTTCACATGTTTGCACCCAATGATTGCCATTACCATTGATACCCCAAAATGGCCAGGTCCTGAATTTGAGAGTAGGTCCTGAAAAGTTTTCTGGGTAATTACTGAAAAAACAAGACTTTGGCACAGGGTCTGAAAAAAGACGTAGGTGGAAGATTCAGGTATGCTGTTGGGTTGCAAAGCTGGGTTAATTGTTGATGGCTAATTATCTCCCAGAGAGCCTAGACATGAATTTATAATAGTGGTAACATCATCATCACCACTACCATGCCCTACTCCAGCAGCCACTGCAGACCTTGCATTTCTTGCACCGGCCGAGACGCCTGTGGCGTCGGGAGTCCCGAGTCCGTTGGACGATCGTTTTTTCAGATTTATCCAGAAGGGTACATCTGCAAAGATGTGGATTTACCCATTTAACAACAAGGTGATTTAGTGATATATTCATGTTATATATATACATATGTATTGTTTATTTATTTACTGTATCTATCTATTTATTTATTGATTTATTTTAAGGCGTACATAAGCTACTATAGTCATTTGTAATCAAGAATCGGATTCTGTACCCAAGGCCGTCGGTCTCGCACTTCAAGGTGGCTCTGCTGGAGAAGTTGGGAAATGAGTGTGTCTTCGGGACCCCACAAAATTATGGAAAGTCATGGCTGGTGAAAACTGCTGGAAATTGTGATAAACATTCATGTGGTTGAAATCAATCAGATGATGAACATGAAGGTTGAATGGATTTCAGCATGTGACACCCTTTTTCAGTGACTTTTCTAGTTGGTTCCGAAAACATCGCTGCAATGCTTCTATCATACTCCATCTTGGTCATAGATGACAAGTGCTGCAAGGCTTGCCAGTTGATAGAGCAGGGATCAGAATCCCAATTACCATCAATTGCCAGAGCATATATGCCTAGAACATCCTAGAACAGAATTCATCAGAGCTATATGACATTATATGACATTATATGACATTATATGACCCTACTAACTTGGTGAAACTTGGTGAATCTGAGGGGAGCTGAGTGCCTCAGCACTCCATGCTGCCAGGGCCATGAACCGCGGCCACGCAACGTGGCGGCCATGTCGGCCGTGGCCACCGCACCCATGGCACTGATGGCGCTGGCTGCGGTGAACGTGGCAAGGCCACGCAGGCGACGGAACCGGTGGTGGAAGCGGTGGTTCCGCGGTGGAAGTGGAAGATACTGAACCTGAAAATTGGACCTCAAATCTAGCTGTTGCTGGAAAAATTGGAGATTCATCTTTTTTTGGAATTGGAATGGGGGGAATGTGGTAAAGCCATGTAAAACCAATAATGGATGGCTTATGCCAACCATTTATGGTGGCATGGTGTATTGGGTTTACCGGTTTACCACAGTCAGAGATGTCAGAGCTCAGTTGACAAAACCGGGCTGGTCAGTTGATGCCACTTGACGGGGCTGCGGCTTCACAGCTGGGAGGTCTGCACAGCGCCGTTTTTCGAAGAACTTGAAGATTGTCTGCCAGGCAGCTGGCTCCAAGCAGGTGGCATGCCATGGCAATGGTTGATGATAGATAATGTGGGCAACCCAATAACAAACCTAGCATTTGGAGATGGTGAAAACAACGCATAAAAATTGTGATGTTGAAGATGGTTTATCATTGGGTTTACCACATTAGATGGTTGAGTTCTGAGTCAAACTTTGGTCTTGGCTGATGTCCAATGTGGATGCTTTGCTCCTAGGACAGCCATTTGGCCATGTGTGGTGAAGGGAAAGGGTGATGTATCCAGGCAATTGTCAGTGGCAGTGGCCAAATTTCACTCCTTGCAGCCGGTCTGTTTCAACTGGAGAGCCTTTTCTTGAATGGCTTTTGGAATGCTCAGGGTGAATACCACAGGCCGCCGCCGGCCCGGCCTTTCATATCTCACAGCTGGCCACCGAAAAACCACATGCTACGACTGAATGTGTTCATCGCAGTTTTTCGAGGAATCATCCAACTTATCCAGAATAGATGGTTAATATATGGTTAATATATGGTTAATCTATGGTTAATCTATGGTTAATCATTCAACTTATCATCATTTTCTTGAGGGTCTTAAAACACCAAGCATGTTAAGTGGTATTTGAGCTGTGCCCAAATAGATTAATTGATATGGTTTTCCCAGCATGTTGAAGGTTTCGTCCTTTTCTATGTCTCTGGGGGTCATGGTTGGATTATGTTCCCTAGCGCTGACGTTCAAGATTTCCGAAACATATAGGTTTTGGACCCTTTCCACTATCAAATCATCCACCAAACAGAGAAACATGTAACATGTTATATATATATATATGTGTGTTTGCTGATATGTTTGCATATATACAAATGACAATTAACTATCTATAGTATATACACATGTATAGATATCAGTAGCTCCCTGGTTAATCTTTTGCATCTGCCATGGACGTGGAACAAGTCCATGTGAGCATCGTGGGTCCGGGCACGGTTTCTATTGGCTGGGCCAGTGAGAGCGGACGAAGCGATGTAGTGGAGTTGCTTAGCACAGCGGGGATAGGGTTCTGCTGGATTGACAGGTGGGGTATTGGATCTAAATGTTCATACTATGATATGGCGAACATGACGATATATTATTATGTATATAATATATTATAATATGGGAACCTATGGTTCCCAGTGTTTTTGCTTTTCGTTTTTTTGGACTTGTACTCAGATTGCATACCAACACTGGACTTGTTGGCTTTCCCATGACATGATCAACCGAGAGGCTGGTTGTAGGGAAGCCTTGCTTCTCGGGCCCGGTCCCTTTTTTCCGGGACCGGGACCGAAATGGTGTTGATTTTCCCCATTTTTTTGGTGGCTTTTAAAAATTGCAGCAGTTTTTCTTAAGATCAACATCCAGTTTTTTGATGTTTTTTGGTGTACCTGCTTCTGGTGTTGCTTTTTTCCCCAAACGGCTGAGGGTCCAAGAGGTGGACGAACATCAAGCGCCACTGGGGGATCTGCAAAGAGTCAGGCATCTGGCTGGGCTCAGAAGTTGTCAAAAACTTTTTCAACTCATAGCATGGTCACATCCAATGCCATCATTCATAGAATTGGATGATGGGAAAATTTTAACCGGAAAGCCCAACCAATTTGATGGTAAAAACATGTAAAAACCATGGTTTCCGGTTAAGATTTTCCCTTAAACCAACCCAATGCCATGATTTTTCATCCAATCCCACCATCCCCTGTGACCCAGCTCCACCAGCGACACCTACGAGCTGCAATGCGGTCGGCGCTTTCACCTCAATGGCCCCTGTGCCATGAGCCAAAGGCCACCGCCAGGAATCGATTTGCCACTTACGAAGGGAGAACGGTGATCTATATTAACTGTGGATTGGCAGTAAGACTATGGGAAAACCAGTCCTTGTGTATATATATATATATACTGTATATATAATAATAATGATAATATTAATAATAATAATTATTATTAATAATATATAATAATATATAATAATAATATATAATGATAATAATAATAATGGCAATTATATAAAGATGGCAATGGACAATAATTGCAATCCTCAATAAACGCCATGATTTTCCCATGAAAACTCATTCACAAACAGGGAACATATTTAAACCAGGTATAAGATGGTATGATTTTCCCATTGATGGGTGATTTTCCCATGAAAACCCTCCATTCGTAGGTGATTTCGAATTGCCATGTTTGATCGAGGCAGCCTGTTCGTTTGCAGCTTGGCAGGTACCGGAGCCCGCTGCTGTTGCAAGCGCGAGTGACCCTGGAAGCGGGGCGGAAATACCGTGGCTTGTCGCGATAGAGGCGATTTTGTGGATGATTTGGGGATGGTTCAGTAAATTTTGTGGATGATTTGGGGATGGTTCAGTAAAACACTTAAATTTGTGGATGATTCAATTTGTTTTTTTCCGGGGGACCACTTAAATTTCAGTAAACCATCGATAGGGGTAGCTTTTTTTTCGATCCCTAGCCGTTTCAGTGAGAGGAGTCAACATTGAAGCACTAAAAGTAGGGATTTAAACCACGCTGAATATGGTGAACCTATAGTGCCACAAACCTAGCAGTTGGGATGATTTGTAGCATCCATGGCATGTCATCGCAGGGTTGGCTTCCCACTAAAGATGAAGCTGATGGGGCTCCTGTAATTTTTCCCTGAAATATACCCTCTGGTTATGTCACAATAGCTATTGAAAATGACCATTAATAGTGGATTTTCCCATTAAAAATGGTGATTTTCAATAGCTATGTTAAATTACCAGAGGGTATCCATTGATTGAACAAAAATGAAGAGACTGAAAAGATGAAAACTACAGCAAAAGCTGACATGGATAGGAATCTAAGGCCGATGTGATGGGTGGCTTGTTCCGGTCATTTTGGTTTCAAGGGCATTGATGGTCACCTCAGATCTCAGTGTGTTCCTTTTTTAAACGTTCATGGTGTAGCTTTCATCCACCATTTGGTCCCCGTTCATGTTGATTAACATATCCGTTGCATCATACTGATTTGGCAAATCCAAAGTTTTTTGTGGTGAAATCACCACAATTGCCTGCAAACTCCTCCTGGTTTTGGTGAAACATCATGCCTTTTCGAGCAAACATATTTTTAAAACCTAAGTTTTGGATAGTTTTGGGGGTTCAAAATGTTCAAAGACTATGAAACCACCATATTTGGTATTTCTTCATCATTTCTGGTGGAATTTCTTCACCAGGTTACCGCCTTGGTGGCGGTGCCTGGCGCCGGCTGCGGCTGCCTCCGAAACGAGATGTTTCTACGGTGGTGAAGGTGGCGATGGTGGGATGCTTGGAGGGTGAAAGGAGGGGATGGAGGATTTCTTTGGGTTATTCATGGGTTATAAATAAAGTTATAAATGCTGGTTGGTGGTTTGGAACATTTTTAATTTTTCCATAATATATGGGAAGAATGATCCCAACTGACTATATAATATTTTTCAGAGGGGTTGAAACCACCAACCAGAATGGATTACTGTATTATTAGTGAGACTTAGAAATCATGGATTCATCATGTTATAAATGATGGATGAATAATGAGTTATTAAAGATTTTTGGGTTGTTAACAACAAGTTATCATAACCAGTATTACTATATCATGTTTTTTATGCCATTGTTGATTGATTATTATTGGTTATTGTTGCTTGATTATGAATATCACCAAATTGGATTCTTAGTTGATTATTATTATCATTATGGATCCATTATTATATAACGGGTGAATTATTAGTGGTTAGACATTATGGATGAAACCATATAATATTACTAAACCACGGAATAATTGTTTTTTTGGTCTATGCATACCATGGCGAATGGGTTGTTAATGGTTAGGAATGGGTTGATAAAGGCTTTCGGCACAAGCAGTGAGTGCTGAGACCTTTCTTGTGGCATGACCTTTCACGCTCATTTATCTCATATTTGTTTTGATTCCTTGTTCGACTCATTCCACAGGTTCAGCACTTTACTTTATTCTCTCATTGGCAGAGGTCCAAGACACTATTCAATTCTTTACTTTACAACCTAGGGTCCGCAAACGCATCCGTGACTCTGCGATGGAATTGGAACCGACTGATGGCAAAGATGTACAAGCAGAAGCATCAGCACCTATCAGCGAATCACAGACAGAAGCCTTAGACACCGAGGCAGAATTGAGCAAGTTGACCCCAGAACTGCAAGCAAAATTCAAACAGCTCCTTGCCCAGGAAACAAAGCATTTGTCAGAACGCACAGATAGCACAGGATCAGTGAAAGAACCCCCGCCAAAACAACAAAAGGTTGAGGTAGATGACGATTTTCAGGCATTCCTTAGTTTCCTACCAGAAATCGACCTCGAATGGGGTGACCTCGACCCAAATGTACAACAGAAGCTGCGCTACTCACAGCAGGCACGAGAAGATTTTAAAGCCTTACACCACCAGAAGCAAGAGATCAACACCTATGATCCAGTGACCGGGCACATCACCACCACACAGCCCAAAAAGCGACCCTTTGAGGAACAGTACAAGCCCCCTGAGATTGAGGCAGCAGACAAGCAGCTCCAGCAGGCGATGATGCAATATCACGAGCACCAAGTATTACCAGGATTACAGCACTTGACCGAATGCTGCCAAAACTTTTAGGGTACGGTGAGCCAAGAGATTCTGTTGCTACAGCATATGACTGACCGCCACTCATTGCAGCTGAGATCTTTGGAGCAGAGCAGATGCAACAAAACCATCCTTCTCAAGAACCTCCCGCCGGTGGGTTTCACGAAGACTCAGTTAGACCGCAATGTGCAGTACTTGTTGAATGATGCAAACCTCGCATGGGACCGACTGGCGGCAATGCACAACCATGTAGTTACTACTGACGCAGCAGTGCTTCGATTAGAATTTCTCACAGAGGAAGACGCGAAGATCTTTTTTCAAGCCATGAAACGCCGCAAGCATCATTGGTTCTTCAATGGGCAGCAGGAAGCCAAAATCCGGGTTGAGCATGATCAGCCGGTGGAGGACAGGTTGGCACTCCAACCATTTTATGCACTGATTGACATGTTGTCTCCGCATTTTGGAAATGATGGCACAAACGCTTTGCAGATGGACAAGAACACCTTGCAAGTTTGGCCGGGATCAGAGCACCAGGACCAGAACATGTTGGCCCCGGTATCTTACCGTTTGGATCCCCATGCGCCTCGGCGCTACCTGTGTACAGTGCTGATTCGAGAGGACGTTCATCACATTCTTGTTAGAGACTTCCATGCAAAATTCCAAAACAGGATGAAAGCCACACTGCAGCTCACACAAGCTCTCACGCGAGCTACACAAGACAGAACCACCACAGCGCGACATGCTTGGCAAAAAAGTTTCGACATCAGCAACACCCCCAACCCGCTCAAAGCTTTCCCATACCAGATCCATTTTGTTAACATCTCCCATGACTTGATCAAGCTCCTGGAAACGCACCCCGCCCTGCCGCTGCAAGGCACAGGTGGATTGACAGCAGTCGTAGCCCAGGCTTTTGCAGATTATGGTATCAACGTTGAGGATTATGGCAAAGGAGGCAGCAAAGGAAAATCCCGACCCCTCCAAACCCCCCCGCAGCAAGCTGCCCCTGCAGCATGGCATACAAAGGGCAAAGGCAGCGCCAAAGATAAGCGACCAAGGCAGCAAAATTGGCAAGACCGATCCCCAGACCAGACCTGGTACCCCTCTGACAGGAGGCCCGATGGCAACAACGATCCCCAGCAAGACACATACCATGCACAGAGACAGACAGCAAAACCCCAAGCAGGGCAACCACGGCAGCGACCATATCAGACAACGGGTAAGGGCAAACACAAAGGCAAGCATCAAAGTTTGGCTGAGGTCATCCTGTGCAAGCTATGTTTGTGTGCATTGGGGGCCAACCGACTATGCCAGCAATGTTGGGACAATGACCTCCCCTCGGACTTTGACCAAAAGCAGGAAATTCAATCTTATCCGCTTTATTGTCCGGGAAATAAGGGAAACTCTGCTTGCAATCAGCTCCTTGGTTTTGGCAACTGCCCATTTGTGTATTGAGCATCGCAATTATTGGAAATCCAAAGCAGCGCTGTCAGTCCACCCTGGTTTCTCGCCCTTTCAGAAAGCTGCTCACCTGGTACTTGACAGGGCACTCCATGACCTTGATCTGGTAAGTGCGGATTCGGAAATCAAAACCGATTGGCTTGATGACATGCGACTTGCCTATGACCAGGATGACCAAAGTGGCAACTACCATTTTGCTGAATGGGTTTTGATGACTTACGCCGACTTAGAAGGCTTTGAAAACCTTCTGCAGTCAGGTAGGCAACCTTATTGCTTCCCGGACTGGGGCGCGCCTGGCCAGCTCCCATCGCATGGCATTTATTTTGGAGACAAAGATCAACCTTTGTTGATGCAAACATTTTGGTCTGCGCACTATTTTGGTGCCCTTCTCCAGAAATACTATGGCCAAAACTGGCAGCGCATCGTCCCCGGATATACGGCAGAGTTTTTTCAAGCTTTTGACATTAGATTTGCGGCTCTTTTGCCCTGGGACTATATGGTGGCTGCCTCATTCCGAATTGCACTGATCCAGGAAAGCGAGGCTAGACGTGACAGGTCAACTGAGCCGATCCCGGGCCAATGGCATATGGACAATGTTGAGTGGCTTGTGCAGGAAGTCCTGGAAGGTATCCCCCGCAATCAAGATGTTATAGATTACGTTGCCAGCAAATGGGCTGAAATTATCTCAGAAGATGACTTGCTTTTTGATTTGTTTGTAGGTAACCAGCCCTACAGCAACAATGTGGTTCGTGATCTTGCTGCATTTGCCACGTATTATTCTGATTTAATGTACTGGCAGTTTGCACGCATGTATTCCATAGCCTTGCCCAAACAAACCAAGGCGCAGGTGCAATGCCCAAATCAGCAGATGCATCTGCTTTTTGATCGAATTGTTCAATATTTGGCAGTTGACGACCCGCAATGGGTTCTCCAAAGGGGATCTAACAACAAGGGGAATATTATAGAAACATTGTTTTTGTATCTTGCAGAGCACGGGTTTCACGAAATTGTAATTCGAACCATGTGGGTCATCCTGCAGCACCAGGCCAGGGACGGACATTACCCCTGGCTGGTGGCTGTAGCCCGCTGACTAGTGTGGACAGCTCAACCAAGCTCACTAATGACTGGCAGTATTTATATCAACCCCTTTTCCTTTTTTTCCTGCAATGGGCTCCACCTGGTATCCAAAGAAGAAAACATTAAGGACAAGCAGCACATTAAGGCAAAGCTGCGCAATCTCGACAGCCTGGGGTCAGAAGACATTACTTCTCCAAGCAGCGATTCACCCGAATATTGTTGGCTTTATAATCTTTATAAGCCACCTATGCTTGTTTCTCCGGCTGACCCCAGTGCTTGGTTATTTCTCACTGTCAAAATCCCGCTTGCAAGCTCGGCAACGGGCCAAGCATCAGTTGGCACATTAAGGAAGCCAAGTATCCTGGGGCACATTAAGGTTAGACCCAGAACTGAAGGCAAGCGTATCAGTTTGCTCCACCAGAAAAAAATTGCAGATGACTCCATCCCGATAAGCTTCTATTCTCAGGTAACATTCCACCCATATTCAAGTTGGAACAAATATATGCATTCTATTCATGGCAACTATCCCACTCACCAATGTTGCGGATGTTATTCGACCCCATGGATATTTTTTCACAAAATGCCAAAGTGCTTTTATGGACAATATTTTTCACTTCCCAATGGATATTTAGTACATAGGTTCCACACATGCAACATGCATCTATCATTGTGGTATTATCATAAGGGTCTGAGAATATACAGGTCCTTCACTGGGGACCATATGAACTCATTATGGAAGCAACTCACTGCAGCGGGGGCCGCCAGCGGCAAGCCGGGAGACCACGGTCGAAGCCTAAAGTGGTTGAATCGAAATCATAATTCAAAGCTCCGGCAAGCAACGGCAAGTGGTCACGAACCCCGCAGCCAGGCCGAGGGACGGACGCACCAGAATCTCCGTTCAGTTGAATCTATCTCCCGCCGGCTACAAAATTATCGCAGCACACGGCAGTTAAACAGATGCAACTATAGAAAATGGAACGCTCAAGTAAGGGAGGCCGGTTTTTTCACCCTTGCCTGCCTCCACGGTCCCTCGGAAAGGGTGAAATTGAGCACACACCAAATACGCAGAGCGTACCCGCCACACACCTGCAAACCTACCCTTGTTTCGCGCGCAGAGTTTTTCCACCGATATGTTCAAAAATCACTGTTAGATCTCCCGCCTTCCCGGAACCTGTCTTTTCGATACCCGCTTCCTCATTTCACTATCCACTCCTGGAATCTTGAGACCCTCATCGGTCTCTCTAAATATGAGATGCTGTCAGATACGTTGCAGAAATTCTCTGTCAAATTGCTTTGCATGCAAGAAACAAAATCAGCTATCTCCAATGAAATTGCCGAAGGTGCATATCGATACCTTCTTTCCGGCACACCTGAAGAACCATACGCTGGAGTTGGATTTGCGGTTCATTGTTCCTTACTCCCGTTTGTTCATGATTTTCATCCCTTTTCGGGCCGCATTGCAATATTGATTCTGAATACCAAGCCCCGCAAAATCGCGCTTTTTTCCATCTATGCTCCTTCCCAGCTGGCGGATTCCGACGCTGACTTCCAACGCAAACATGTCTTCTGGGATGACCTCACAGATATCGTTCAGGAATATTCGCGCAGTCACCAAATTCTCCTTCTGGGCGATTGGAACACAAGATTGTATTCCAACCATGTGTCAAGCATGCCTGACTTTGTAGGCCCAGTTATTTTTGCCCCCACCCGAGCTGATGATGAAACTATTGTGCACACTAACCTGTATCATATGTATGATTTCCTCGCAGCCACAGATACATGTATAGTCTCCACATTCCGTCCTCGGCCTTACCACAAACTGGTAACAGACAGAGAAATCAACTCTGCCCCGGACGCTAGTCCGTATGCGCCCTTGCTTGACCATTTCGCAGTCCTCGACCATGTCGTGTGCCCCCGTGACTTCAAAAAATATTTTCGTGTCATACGTACTGTCTTGGAAGCAACCCTTCCTTGGTTTCATCGACACTTTCTTCTGGAGGCCAATGTTACCCTGCCCTCTTTTGTGCCTCAACCTTCTCCTTTTCGGACCCCTACTCTCATGTGTGACACTCGTCAACTCAAACAAGGACTCTCGCTTGCTATTCAAAAACAGCTTGATCTTTCCTTTTCTCAGACCACTCCCTGCCCAGTTCCGGAACATCAAATTCCTTCTCTATCTTTATATACTGATGGCTCCTGTCCCAACAACAAGGCTGCATATGGCAACCCTGCTGGTTGGGGTTGGGTTCTTCTGTCCGACCCACCAGTTGATGGATATGGCCCTGTCGGCTGCGGCCTGCCTTTCCATGTAATAGGCTCCAACAACACCGCCGAATTGCAGGCTCCTCTCGAAGCTTTTGATTATTTATCACGTTTTCCACCGACTCAGCCAGTAACATTCTTCTTTGATTCGCAATATGTCCTCGACATCCTCCAAGGTACTAGCGTGCCTGATTACCATCTCCCACTTATTGAGCTCCTTTTCCATTCCTTATCCTTCACACTCACTCGAGTTCACTTAGCTCTCGCCAAGGTCCAAGCACATGTTGGCATAGAAGGAAATGAGCGTGCTGATGCAAATGCAAGCAAAGGCACGCATCAACTTGCGCCAATAGGCAGGCACGCATCCACTCCTCCTTTGCCTCTACTTTCTCAGGCCCCAAACATTCCCCTCTCCTTTTCACAAGCGCCTATTTCACAGCAATCTGACCATCTTGCATGCGTCCTTACAACAGCGGCTACCCATTCCCTCCCACGTAAAACAATGTCAGTGCGTAAGCCGTACCTGTCCTCCACCACGCGGCAACTTATCTCTGGCATTACATCTGATCAGCATTCTCCTGATCAAATTCACCTCCGCAAAGTAATTAAAAAGTCTGCCAAACAAGCAAACGCTGGATTTTGGATCAAATAACTCGTGACCACCAAGGGGACACGTCCTCTCAATGGCGGACTATAAGGCATTTACGCGCTACCTACCAACCGCGCACCAAACAAGTACGCTTTCCAGATGGAAGTCTCTCCACAGCAGGGGCCAAACCTGAAGCGCTTGCTCAACATCTTGTTGCTGATGTTTGGAATTCAGTTGATCTTCCACCTCTGGACTCCACGCCGTTGTATCCACCCCAAGACTGTAACCTTCAACCCTTCACAATAGCTGAACTCTATGGAGCGCTCAAGCGGTCTAAAGTCGGAAAAGCACCTGGCCCAGATTCTATATCCATGGATTGGATAAAGGTGTCTCCCTTACAGTTTGAACATTTACTCCTGGCTCATTATAATTCTTGTTTCTTCGCCGCTGACGCTCCAGACAGTTGGAAGTTGGCTCGCGTAGCCATGATCTACAAGGGTAAAGGAAAAGATCCGCGATCACCATCTAGTTATCGTCCAATCTCACTAGCAAATTCCTTTTACAAACTATATGCTTCAATGCTCCAACACCGCATCGCATCTTCGATTGATTATATTCTGTCACCCCATCAGTTCGGCTTTCGTAAATCAAGATCTACTTCAACTCCGGTCTTTTTGATTCGGAGACTTCTCGAACATTTTGAACGTCATACTACATCTCTCTACCTTTTATTCCTGGACTGGCAGCAGGCTTTCGACTCGGTCTCCCGCGAAGCGGTGCAGACAGCTCTTGTTAGGTATGGCCTGCCAGAGGCGATAATCAACCCTGTCATGGCCCTCTTTCAAGACTGCAAATTCTTTGTCCAGGACGGGTCTTTCTGCTCGGAAACATATTCCCAAAATCGTGGGATCCGCCAAGGCTGCCCAATCTCTCCGTACCTTTTCATCGTTCTTCTTTCTTCTGTTATGGCAGATGTATCCATTCAATTCCAAAATTCTTATGGTTATACCCCCTGGGTCCACTCAGCTGTGCACCCTCTGCAGCATCTTGAATTCGCAGATGACACAGCTCTCATGTCTCGCAGTCACACCACCATCCACCGCCTGCTTCATATCCTCCAGTTCCAGGCTTCCAAGCGGGGCCTGCTCCTCAACCGTGATAAATGCCAACTCCTTCGGTTGCATACGGACCATGATGTTTCGCTTTCTACTACTTTCACCCCGTCGCGTCCTTGTCAGTGTCAACATTGTGGGGGCATTGATCCATTGCCCCATCCTTGCCAGGTGGTGGACCATCCTACCTGCCTTGGTGTTGTTCTTGATGCCTCGGCTTCCTCTTCTCCTGACTGCCTGCGCCGTTTCAGCCAGGCCTCCTCAGCTTTCCGATCCCTCTTCCCACTTTTCTCCAACAAATCCATCACCGTTAAAAGGCGACTGCAACTACATAACCAGATTGTTCTGGCAATATTGCTGTACGGTTCTGAGTCACAAACATACACTCCAGCCCAGCTCCAGAGATTCAACGCGCTGCACTTCAAGGTTCTGCGTCAAATATTTGGCGTCAAAAGTTCGTACTATCACCGGGTTCTTGCCCCCTCTTCAGATAGTTGTTCCAATGCTTTTCTAGCACGCAAAGCAGCTGCATTTCTCCCCTATCAGCTTACTCCCTCGCAAATTATTTCTCAAAAACGCCTGCAATATTTGGGACATATCATGCGCCACCCTTACTCACTTGAACATGCCATGATATTTGGCCCATCCCATTCATTCTTGCGATTATCTTCTCCTTACAGACGTGGAGCTCCCAGAGCCCACTGGTATGAACTGGCATTCACTGAAGCGTACCACCGGGTACATCTTGTAACTATGAACCAACATCCGCGTCCTTATGAAATTCACCACCCTGGGTATGGAACAGCCACCTTGGACCTCCATAAAAGCTACCAAGGCTCCCATATGCCTACCTGGTTTGACAACACCAAACAATTCAGACAAATTTCTCCATTTTGGCAGGATCGAAGTAAATGGGGTCAATTAGTAAACCCTTACTGCCAGGATACTTAGCTTGTGTGCCGCTGTCATGTTTTCCGAAAGGTTACACGGAAAGCATTGCGCGAGTCAAAAAAATGGGTTGATAAGGGCTTTGAATTGGATATTTAATGGTTATTTATAACTATGGCACTATTGATGGGTAAAAATACTGTATGACTTTTTGAGCATACCACAAAATTAAGGCTTATCAATGGCTCATTCATCATTATTCCCATTGATAGTAGTGATACTAATACAGACCCCATCAATTTTAGTGGAGATCTACCATGTTCTAAGTTATGCGTTTTTATACCCATAAGAATAATGGTTAAAAGTAAGACAGCAACAGTTGCAACGTCCCCCTGGTGATTTACTGATGCTATGAATCGCTATTTGTGTTTGTGTTGTGACTGTGAATCTACAGATTATGCAAGACTCACATGGTTTTCTGCTTGGTAGCTTCAAGTACCCTCTGGTAAACGTTTACATAGCGAACTGGAAAATCACCATCTTTAATAGGCAAATCAACTATTTCTATGGGCCATTTTCAATAGCAATGTTAAATTACCAGAGGGTATACAACAAGAAAAAATGTGTGATTTGTGTGTCTTTCAATCCGCTCCTGGGATGATTCCCAGGCTCTTGGCTGGGTTTTCACTGAGGAGATATTGGTCAGACCAGCAACAGTGCTGCCACCTGCAGAGATATCCGTGCGCATGCTGATGAATTGGACTTGGGGGTGATTTTAGGCTGGGAAGACAGCAATGCACAGCAGATCCCAGGTGAATTTCTTGGAGGTACACTTAGACACAGATAGAGGATAGACCAGGATAGATGAAGCAGTTTTTCTAGTGTGGAGGTGCCTGGTGAACCTATCTTGTTCTTTTCACCAAACAAGCTGCACATATCATAATTTTACTGGATCTCTTTTGCCTTTTTGATGCCCCAGCAACCATCTGACCGATGCTGCGGGGGAGTTTTCAGGTGACCTTTCCTATGCCGACTCCAATGCGAGCCGCTGGGACAGCTTTCATCGACTCTTTGATTTGCAGGGCTGTGCTGATCTTCCGTGGTTGGTGCTGCCCGGCAACCATGACTGGGTGCTGCGAAAAAGTCAGGGGCCACTTTGGGTATAGCTCTGTGATTTCAATCCCCAGTAGTTTGCTATTGAAGCCATGGCCCAGTCGAAATAGTGAGTTTTCCCATTAAAAATGGTGATTTTCCATGGGTATATCATCCCAACCTCCGGATTTTCGCATCATTTTTCACCAGGAGATCGAGCCGGACGACCTGAGCGGCGAAGACTTTGTGCCCTACCGGAAGCGTTGGCGGACCCCGCAGGTGGCACCGGAGGCCGTTGAAAAACAGCAGCAATTTCATTAATATGATATGAATATCATTAGTAATATCAATGATCATATGAATCATATGTCATCAGTATATCGTGGAGATCAGCACCAAAGCAGGGATATCACCAACCAAAATTGATGAGTTACGGAGTATTACGGAGTTACGTGTTTTGATGTGGCTCAGTGGTTTTGTTCTAGACATAGATACAGATACATCAAATCATATGTATAACATTGTATAACATCCTCATCACTTGGTTTTCGTGATGCGGTCTGACGCAGGTGGTCAGCAACGACAGCGAGGCCACTCATTCTGTGCGATGTAGGGTTTTGCTCACCTTTCCCCAAAACAGCTGGTAAATGGATGTTCATCCCCAAACACATGGTATATATATATATATACTAGTAATAATTATATCATAGTATCTACCCTCTGGTTATTTAACATAGCCATGGTATAGATGGCCTATTTATAGGTCTGGTTTACCTATTAATAGCATGGTGGATTTTTCCATGGCTATGTCTGTTAGGTTAAATAACCAGATGGTAACAGGATTTTCACCATTTCAACCCATCCCAGCAATCCCTGGCACTACCAGAGACATCTGCCTGAGGTGATCAGCTGGTTGCGCTACGACTTCCGGTGTCGCTACGACTTCGGGGGCTCCTGGTATTCCTTCAGTACCGGGCCGGCACACTTCGTGGCGTTGAACCCGTGCCCCAGTGCAGTCATTGGGATTTGTGTACAGGTGTGGTAAGAAATCCTGAAGTAGATAGAATATGATAGAATATGGAATGTGCAAAAGATATTCCCATATTTTGGTGTTGTTTTTTTGTTATTTTCCATATTCTATCTACTCCATGAACCCACCGTGTGCCAACTTGACAGGTGATGCGTTGTTTTTTACGCCCCGGATGCCGAATTGGATCCATCGTCCGGCGAGGTACTGTACCAACTCCAACCCAAAGGCACCGCAGATCCAATGGTTGGATGAGGATTTGAAGGGATTCAGCAGAGAACGGACGCCGTTTCTGGTGGTACCTGGGTGAAACAAACGTGTTTTTTGCGGTCGCAAGAGGGGTCAGAAGTTATGACTTCTTGGATCAAGTGACTGGTAAGAAAAGAACCTCGGAATTTTAGCATTTACACATCATTTTTTAGTTGGCGTTTCTGCAATCCCTGTTATGGTTTTAACAAGCCAAAACAAAACCAACCAGCAAAACCAATCAGTATAGCCCACAATTCCATACCAGTCAACAGTTAGCGATTTTCACGACCTATAGATATCATGAGATGTTTGCGATGAGCCAAGGTCCTAACTCATGCGCCATGGGTGCACTCTTCCCGGACCCATCGGCCAGAGAATGAGGCCCTCAAGCAGTGTTGGAATTGGGACCTTTTGGTGCAGTAACTGCCTCAAAACTCCATGTGAACTTTCAGTGTTTGGAAGATCATTTCATCCTTCCAAAATCATATAGAAAAATCATATTGGAAATGACATGAACATGAAATGACCCTTGGTGGCTTGTTCTTACCCTCTGGTAAACTAACATAACTGGAAAAAATCACAATTTTTAATTGGAAAACTCACTATAAGTGGCCATTTTCAATAGCTATGTTAAATTACCAGAGGGTAAATATCACTGTTCCAAAGGACCTCCGTGGCAGGTGGCCACAGCGCAACTCCGTGCTTCAGCTGAGCCGCTCTTGGCCAAGAAGTTGCCGGGCGAACGTCGATCTGGTGACTTCAGACTTTGCTTCCTGAGATTGTTCCAGAATATATTAAGACTTATTATAGAAATATACAGAAATATAATGACATTATAATATATTAGAGAATATATAGAATCATTGAGACTTGTATTAAGAATTGCGGTAAGGCATGGTTTAACTATGAAGGGGAAATTCTACACGGGCCCCGTGTGTGATGATTTGATGGAAGATGGGCACGTCCAAAACTTGGCTCCCGCAATTTCCCCCGAATCCAGAACCAAAATCAACATCTATCGATGGCTGCTAGGGACACCGAGACCAAAAAAGGATAAAAAAGGGCTCTTCTTGCACAGCCACGCGAAATGATATCATTTTTGGGGAGTCGCTAGTATTGGATCATACCTACATGGTCTTTTATCTTACACAGACCAACAATCTAATAACATTCGTGGTTTCGGATGGATTTTGGAAGTTTCACCCAGATCCATTTTTCCACCTCGCTGACCTCGCTCATCGCTGAGAATGGACCTCATGTTCAGTGGCCACGTGCACGCCTACGAACGTTCAAAGCCGGTTGAGGGGACACGATACATTGTCCTTGGCCATGGTGGAAACAACGAAGCTTGGTAGATGATGGGATGATGTGGGTGACCCACTAATTATATATATATAATTATATATATAATTATATATATAATTATATATATAATTATATATATATAATTATATATATATATAATATCTTTTTTTTCAGGAACATTGCCGTTATTTCAGGATATCTTGGGCTGGTGATTCCCGGGGCTTTGGACAGGAAAAGCTCTACAATCGATGGATGGAGAGTCAAAGCTCAGCGTATCTTGAATGCAAAACCGCACAAGCTGGATTTTGTGAAACCCACAGATTTTGATGAAACCATTAAACATGGATACCATAAATGGATGATCCAAGAAACAAGCTTATTGGATTAGCATTTATTTGTTTCCCAATGGTAATCCAATGGTGTAAGTTCTTTGCCTTTGGTGGGATGATCCCTGGCTCAGCTGACGTGACGCTTTCCGAAATGTTAGGGGCCTCTCCGTAGTTTCTTCTTGACAAGTTATGATGAAAAAAAGAACACGCCATTCCCCACCATGTCCATATGCAACTATGTCAACTATGTTAACTATGATCACTACTAGAACTGCCAGAGTTTTTGACGCCTGAGGTTTCGCTCTGGTGACCACTACGGTTGGGGCATCTTGACACTTTCCGGTGGCCACGGCAGTTTTCAAGCACGGCGCTCCCTGGATGGTGCCTTGAGCAGCAGCTGGATGGTTTATGAATGGAAAATCCACATCGAAAATGGATGATTTGGTACCCCTATTTTAGGAAACCTCCATATAGTGACATGTATATAGTATAATAATATATATATATATATACATAGATAGAGTGTATAAACCTTAAATAGGTTGTTACAAAACAAAGTGTTTTACTTTGGTTTTTTAGCATCACAGATTGGGTATATAATTCCTGGCCCAAAAAACGCTGGGAGGCCTTTTCGGCAACCAAGCCACTCACCTCTGGAATTCCAACCGATCAGCTGCCAATCCAACAGGATAATCATGAGAAACGATCCGTTCATGAATCCATTGATAGATTTTTTTTTTTGGAACATCTACCCCTATATTTGGAGGGTCAAATTCATGGGGGCCCGCGCCTCGATTTTCGCCTCTGGTATATCAACCACAAGGTGCTGTGATGGACTCCTTTGAATTCATGGCACGAATGGAGAATGAGGTCACAGAGGTCACAGAGGTCACAGGCGCCTTTGCGAAGCCCAGCTATAAAATGTTTGAAGGATGCGAAAAGCTACATTCAGATGCATACATTGCAGATGAGTTGACTTTTTTAAAGGGAGTCCATTCAGCAACTAAATAGGTCAGCTAATAAAGTATAATAAGTGGTTAGATGAATCATCCAACAACTATATCGAATCATAGTTGATATTAATGTTGATTATTTAACTATTATAACTTAGGTATTATATCAGCTATTATATCAACTATTATGGTGATATTAACCAGTCTATTTAATCATCTACTATATCATAATAGTTAATCAGCTATATATTATGACAGTTATTATCCAACAACTATATTAGCTATTACAATCATCTATTATATGTTGGATGAGCAGTCTATTTGGACATGGTCCAACCAACGTTCGCCTGACATGTCAGAGGTGATTCCGCAGCCTTCTGGGCCGCCGTGGTGCTGTTCTGTCTTGGATGTGGAGCCTTGGGCAGGATGGCCGGATGGCAAGTCCATCTTGCTATTGATGGATGGGATATGATTCCTATAAATCATATATATATATATACATATGTATACATATATATATAGACACACACACATATATATATATATATACGTAATGTATACATTGCAGGTCTTGATTGGATATAATATGAATAATATGAATATGTATTAATATTGATATATCATGATGTAGAAACGGATTTGTTGAGATTTCAATACATTGTCTTTTAAACTTATAGAACTATATAGATCGGAAAGATGTGGTAGCCGCTTGATGCCTGAAATGGATGTCACTCGAATCATGTTTTCGCATGTTTTCAAACTGGATGCTCCCAGACTATCGGCCAGCAAGGTCTCTGTTTGTGCTGCTGTCTGGTCTATCGCCATGCTCGTTTGGCAGATGAAGAAGAGAAGAGCTCCTTAAAGGATGCTGTGACCCTTGGTAATGCCATGTGACGCGCAAAAAGAGTGTGCAGCCGGGTGGCCGAAAAGGCATCCAAATGGCCGTATTTCCTGAATTTCATAGGGACAATTGTTCATAAACATGGGATTTGAATAATTCTAACAAATACATTCAAACATGACAATACGTCATGGGAGTTCGGCATGTCCCATGAACCATATTTTTTTTGGGATAATTATGGTTCACCATGATGATAAACCACCCCCCCAGGCCGGGGTCTCCATAAAAAATGCCAGGCTGAAGACGAGGCACAGATCGTTGCGGATGGGAACCGCAAAATGTCAACCAGTTACTGGTGAAACATACAGGGGAAACCTAGTATCATAGAATTGGATGATGGGAAAAGTTTAACCGGAAAGCCCTATATTATATTTGATGGTAAAAACCATGGTTTCCGGTGAAGATTTTCCCCAACAAACCAATCCAGTGATGTTTGGTGACGAAGTGGACATCTTGGTGGACTTCGTGAACTCACATGAAATCTGCATGAAGGCGGCATAAAATAAAGGTGTAACCCCCAATACTAAGGCTACTAAGGTTTTTGTTGGTTGATATATCCCATGAATATTCCCATTGATTATGTTGGTTGATATATCTCAAGACAATCTCAAGAATCGTCCCAAGCAACTCTTCCAGAATCTGACAGGCAAGTGTAGTCACTGGCCAGGCAAGAGAAGGGTGTGGAATGTGTGGAGAAACTGTGCACATTTTATCCATCCCCTGAACTAGCAGTAACTAGCAGTCTGACCCTGAGAATCTTCACTTTTAGGAGGAACGAAGTCTTTGATCCCCTTATTTGGCAGGGTCTATGTTAGTTGGATGGTAAATCACCTGGGCACTAGCATTTTTTGGCATATTTCACTTTGTAGATCCATTGTACTTCAACCACACCCGGTTTTATCGCTTGGAGGGCATTGAAGAAATCATACCCGACGTGGTTTATTCGGCCAAGTGTTGCAAAACACACCATGCAGATCCAAAGGTAGCTGGAAGCCCCAAAACTTACTGGTTCTTAGGTTTTATGAGGGAATCACCTACAAAAACTTTGAAGAATTGTCCCATTGCCCCATTCCCATCCCATTCCCTACTTTTTGCACCAAGAAAATTGATCATCTGGACAAATCGCAGGAGTCAGAGGCTGAGCAAATCTTTCGCGAAGCGTATGAAGCGGAGGCTGAGACTCTGAGATCACGGAGCACCAGTCAGTCCCAAATGTATTGCGATTCAAATGGATCACATGATATTGGGTATCCATGGGTATCCAACTGTTATTCAAGTTTGATATGTGAGCAATAACCACTCCTTCTCAATGGGGGTTGGTGGGGTTACCCCCTAAGAGTTGCAGCTGGGTTTGAGGATTGGCCAATTTCGTGACCACGGCTCAGTTGGTTTGTGCAGGCAGAGCGAGCTGCTTTGATGGGGAAGCAATTGGAGGCAGCTGCTACAACGAGTGGCAACCGGAGCTATACATCGACTTGTAAATGGAAGCTGGCACAACGGTATACTAAAGAGAACGTACAACGTGTACCCCATATTGGACATACATTTTCGTTAAACCCCAACATTGTTGGAAGGTGGATCACTCACAACGGCAGTTGTCACTTTGTAGGTGGTGTCCTGAACCATCCATGCACAGGTGGATGGTGATTTTTTAAAGGTACCCCAAAAGCATTGATTTCCCTCAACCGATTTTTTACATTGACCCAATACTGTAACTTGGATGACCAGAAATGGGTGTCTCTTTTTTTCAAGAAATGCCCCAAGATCCGCAGATTTTTGTTGGCTTCACTGGCATTGGCGAAATCCCATGGGATTCCACGGACACGGAAGTGTCTCAACAGGAAGCCCTGGCGGAGCAACTTGGAGCACCTGAAGGCAACGTGGAGATGACTGCAGAAAATTTCAAGGGAAATTTTATGAATTGTGGGAAGTTGCCTTTTTTTCTGAGAGAGTTCTGAAAAGTTCTGACACGTTTTGGGGGCTGAATCTGCAGGCATCAAGATCAACATTGAGGCTGGTGGCGCCACAAAGCTGATGCCAAAGCTGGTGATATGTGGCATCCCACAATTTCTGCACAACGTACCAGTGTTTTTTTTCGTGTTGATTCAAAGACAATTCTTGGCAACTACCTTCGCAATTCTAATTTTGATGTACTATCTGATTTACTACGTGCAATCCCCAGGTTTTTGCGGTTCTTGAATGTTATGTTAGTATATATGTTAGTAGCTATATCCCAATAATGGATAATAATGGTTGGTTCATATGTTATTAACATGATAAAAAACCCAATGATGGTTGGTAGTGAAACTCAGCATTTCTTGGTTCCCCAACTGCTGCTGCTGGGCTTTTCCGAGAAACACGCCGCGCTAGGCCCCAGCGGCACCCGCTCCCAATGAGCCCGGTGGCACCACCTGGCGCAAAGCCTATGAGGACGAGCAAGTTATGAGAGAAGCAACATGAACCAACCATTTTTATGGGATATAACATGTTAATAAATGTTAATAACATATGAACCAACAATATTATTGGGATTTTTTGCTACTAACATAACATGATATTTCACTAAGATGATGGCATAAATAAGCAAGATTGGGATGGGGGATGTTGGGATGTTGGTTCCTCGAGTTCCTCGATTTTTTTTGGGATGCACCCCTTGGGGAGAAAGGAAAAATTAAGTGTCCGAAGATATGGGGCCTGCCACAAAAAAACCAATGGGATATAAATGGTATACACTGGTATATAGATGTATATAGAAAATTCAGGAATAAAATGAATAAAAGCTATAAACTTCTCAAGCCTCAGGAGTGAAATAGCAACAACATGATGTTTGAACTTCTCCAAAAACGGGAAGTACCTCATATTTATGGCAGTTTTCATAGGATAGGAAGCAATTTCTGAACCATTGGAGATAGAAGATCGGGACAAACTATAGGGGTAAAAAAGGGATTGTATGGCTGAGTGCTTTTTGGGAGAAAGTTTATGGATTTATCCCATTCCACCTATGTCATTATATGATATTATATGATATTCATGACATGGTTTTTGTATGTTTTTGTACAGCTGATACGCCCTTAGATTCTTCAGCTTTTGCAGAACATGAAAAGCTGGAATGGTGGGAGCTCCTTTTTTGAGGACATCAAAGCCCGAGCAGCCTCCCTGGAAAGCCAACTGCAAAAAGCTCGACGTCCAGTCCTCGGAGATAGATCAGTGCAGGGAGAAACCCTGAACTGATTTTTCAAACATGTCGGAAACTGGTTATTATCATGTTATAAGATCTTACACAACATGTTATAAACCCTTGAACACTGGGATGATTATAGAATTATAGACATAGAAATATCTGTAATATCATCCAGTTGCCAAGCATCCCATGCTACCGCTACCAGGCTTAGCTGAACCCACTGCGGCCTCGGCTTTTGAAGAGAGGGCTGTGAAGGCTCCAACCCCTGGGATCCCCTGGGTCTGGCTTCGGCAACCCCTGGGTGGTCGTAAAATTTCGATGGCTTCAAATAGGCATGGCCAAAAATCCCAAATTTTTTTGGTCAAGCCATTCCTGCGAATTTTTTTGGGGGTGATATTTCTGAGACTGGAGAAATGATAAGATGGGGGGGGGTGGTTTCGCCCGAATGTTCCAGGTGAGCGATAAACCATGATCAACTCTAATATTTAGCCTCAGAAAATCAAACGTGGCTAGCTGGGAAATCCCCGAACTAAATAGGCCATCTAAATATGGGAATCGTGTTTTTTTCAAAACGGGGATATTTTCCAGGAAGCCATGTTTGATTACATCTTGAGGGTCAATCCTCCATTTTCAGACACACCCATATATCATATGAAGTTGGTTGTTATTAATATTCCCAATGGCATCCCCACCAGGCCTCTCCACACTGATCACACTGGTTGGTGAAATCCTAATTAAATCCCCATTGTCATCCATGTAACCACTATTCATTGCATATATATATATATATATCCCTATTAAATTATTAAATCCCCATGAGTCACAATGAGGTCACCATTTTAGATGGTTAAATCCACATTTAAGTATATTAAATCCCATTAGATCCCAGTAAAAACGCATGAAAAACCAATTAAAAACCTATTGAAACCCATTGCTGTAGATCCATTAAGTCGGTGGTTGCATCCCATATGTTTTCCAAGTTTGGTGACACCTGAGGCAGAGGCCAGCTTCGATGCGGAGAGCGCCACCCAGAGCACCCAGTCGATCCTGGGCAGAGAAAAAGATGAACAGAAAAGGTTAGGGGCTGAACAGTAGAAATAGGTTACTAGTAAATAACAAGCTACTGAGATGTCATAGTAAATCTACCGCTCCTTTTGTGTTTTTTTCTACTTTAAAGGTTTTAATCCTAGATTTATCACTATCGTAGTGGGATTTTCCCATCTTTGTGGGGTTGTAAATGGGGTCAACAAAAGGGATAATATTTCATGTGACATATTAAATGTAGGGTGTAAAACCAACCAATTTCCGAGAAGCAGTGGAATGTGGGGCATCCGATTTTCAGACTAAATCGCCACATTGATTTTGAACCAAAAACGGGGGATAGTAAATAACGGCATAAACTATATTACATGGTTGTTTGCTTGCTATCTGTCTTTCGATCTATCTATCTAATCTAATCTAATTCTAAATCTAAATCTAAATCTAAACTAATCTAATCTAATCTTATCTTATCTTAATCTAATCTAATCTAATCCAACCTAATCTAATCTAATCTGATCTAATCTACTCAAATCTAATCAAATCTAATCAAATTTAATCAAATCTATCTAATCTATCTAATCTATCTAATCTATCTAATCTATCTAATCTACATAATCTACATAATCTACATAATCTATCTAATCTATCTAATCTATCTAATCTATCTAATCTATCTAATCTATCTAATCTATCTAATCTATCTAATCTACCTAATCTACCTATCTACCAATCTACCAATCTACCAATCTACCAATCTACCAATCTACCTATCTCTATCTCTATCTATCTATCTATCCATCCATCCATCCATCTATCCATCTATCGATCTATTCATTTATCCATCTATCCATCTATCCATCTATCCATCTATCTATCTATCTATCTATTTATCTATCTAATCTATCTAATCTATCCAATCTATCTAATCTATCTCATCTATCTAATTATCTATCTATCTATCTATTATCTATCTATCTATCTATCTACCTACCTAGCTATCTATCTATCTATCCTATCTATCTATCCATCTATCCATCTATCCATCTATCTATCTATCTATCTATCTATCTAATAAAGCATTCAATTGATATCATATATGGTCTACATATTCTATGTTTTATTGATAAGCATCATTCCATTCATCCTATATTTGGAAAATAGAATGCAATAAATATGAACCAATATCGTTGATATTATCCAATAATTGGGACTATATTTCATCTTATTATCCATGTATTATCCATATATTATCCATATATTCCATTGGTTATATAAACCATGAAACATATCATAACCCATCGCAGTGCTTATTCTGCGTTGCCTCGAGGACTCCTCCACCACCACAGCCATCACCTCAAGGCTGGCTTGGTTGGAGAAATAGAGATGATGAACATGACACCTTGATTAAGAAAATCAGTAAACTATGATATAGAAATAGATATAATAGTATTATATAGTATATGTAATCACTATTAGATTATTAGATATTAGTGATATTAGTATCAATTTACTGTTGTTATTGTTGTTGCTCTTGGATCATCCTGGTGGAAGTGTTGCAGGTATCCCCGCAGATCCCATGCAACAGATGCAGAAACTCAGGGAGGCGCGCGCCGTTTTGGCGTTGAAACAAAAACGCTCCGGCCGTGGGCCGCCGTTTGGGTGATGATTTCTTCATGAAAACATGGGAAAACATCAGCATTCATCAGTTTTGGATTGTCTTTTCTGTGTTTTTAATTCTTCTTCTTAGTCTTAGCCCACCACATGCCGACAGATTGCCAACATCTCAGCCGAAGAGGACAGCACATGGGAACCATGGAATCTATGGAAACTGACGGTGATGACGCCATGGAAACCGCCTGCTGTGAGGAGTCCGTCCTGCGACTGCTGTCCTTAGCTGCACTGGCCAATCAGGAGGACCATGTGCGGAAGTTGGAACATGTTGGAACCATTTGGAGGTTTCCATATATGGTTAATATATGGCTAATAATGGCTAATATATGGCTAATATATGGTTAATATATGGCTATATGGCTATTTGGCTAATATATGGCTAATATATGGCTATATGGCTATATGGCTAATATATGGCTAATATATGGCTATATGGCTATATGGCTAATATATGGCTAATATATGGTTAATATATGGCTAATAATGGCTTTCCATAAATGGTGGTACCGTACGGTACCTCAATAGCTGCATGGTTTATGATGGACAATGCCACTCAAATGGATGATCACTGGGGGTAGCCCCAAATCTGTCAAGTCGCTGGCAGGGCATGTTCAAGGAGGCCGCATCCAAGGAGTTGCCTCCCTTGAACCAAGCACGAGAGGTCGGCTGCACGAACAGGATCGTTGGATGAAGATTCACGCATCAGATCATCAGTTTGCAGATGTTTGGTAAATTTAAGGGAGGTGCTTCACCAATTTTTCAATTTCTTCCCATGGAAAAAGCCTCTGCCAGGCGCTGAGTGGTGAGGAGATCCCCGGAGTTGTCATTTTTGAAGATGTAACCAATGATAACCGATATAAAACCTATATATATATAACCCTGTTCATGCATGTCAACAACATGAGCTCCCAATGAAATGATTTCTGCTAAGATTCCCATGTTCACCAGGAAATATCACATTTTTTTTTCGGATTTTGATCTTTGCAGAGTCGTCCCGCCGGAAGTTCACGGCTGTTCTTGATGAAGAATTCGTTGACTAACATTGGTCAATATCTACTGGTTGGTCAATATCTACTGATTGTTAAATTGGTCAATATCCATTGATCAATCGCTTCATATTCTCATCAGAGATAGGTCCAGGTTTTTCCCATCACTATGGGACATCAAATGGAGGTTTTTCCCCCAAAAATCGTGGGAGTTTCCCATTGATCACCCATTTTTCCGGATGGTAAAAAAAACACCTGGCGATCAAATCAATGGAACCCCCCCATATTTCATACATGGGAAAATCGATGGTGAAGATCTCAACAAAACCAATCCATTAATCCATAAATCCCATGGAAATTCATGGAACTTCTCCCGATTTTTCCGAAGGATTTCCAGGCCTCCGACGCCTTGATCTTCGAGCGTTGCTACGTCTTCCCTGGCGTCATCCCCCAGGGCCGGGAGCCCGCGGTGGCGCTGGAGGCCCTGCAGCAGCGCATGCGGAACCTCTCGGCGTCCGGGACGACAGGGGGGGGGGGATGGGATGGGACTTGGGGGATTTCCCATGGGAAAACCATGGGAAAACCCATGGGAAAACCCATGACACCAAAAAGCGAGTTTTGTTGGGGAAAGGGGAAAGAGCTTAAGTTTGGTAAAGAGTGTTTTGCTGGAAAGATTTGAGATGATAGAAAGACATGATGCAGAAAGAGATGCTTATCTTTTGGTGTAGGGATGCAAAATGGCAATTTTTGGGTGGATTTGGATTGGGGATGCTATAAGTTGTTTGGAGATGATTTCAGTAACTTCTGTGAAGTTGGCCAGTGACGGGAGCAAAGTCCCTGCACCACCAAGATCTGCGCCTTTGGCTCTGAACCGTGGCTCAAATCCTGCATTTCGAGTTCAATGGCAGCCCTGTGTCCGCGCCATGACGGACGTGACGGACGTGACGGTCGAAGCTGAGCCGGAGCGGAGCGTGGAGGTTCCTGGAAATGAAGTGGAACCATCAGCCACCACAATAGGACCATCAACCATGGCCACTGTGGAGGAACGGTGGGGAGATTGGATGACGGAAGTGACAGGCGTGTGTGTAAACTGCATATAGGATGTGGTACACACATGTACACACTATATTAATGGCTTTAATATGCTTCAATCACAAACTCCCACAGAGTTAGAGTGGAATCTCTTCAGACAGTCCGTAAGAACAGAAACCTCCACTTCTTTTCGGTTATTAGATACTGGGTTTTTCCCACCTTACAGAGGTTTACGGTCAAATCCCCACTGGAAGATCCTCCAATTGGAGATTTCCCACGTTTGACCGGCTATTCCTGATTTAGTCATGGTAAATCCCCAGAGCTTGATGGCTTCATGGCATGGCTTCATAGCACCATTTTTACCATGGCACCAAGCGCGCCAGGAGATATCGCAGGTGAGTGCCACCTTAGAAAAAGTGGAAAAGTTGGTCCAAGAGTTGCAGGACTGGGCTGGTGGCGATAGAATCTCATCCCCCAATTGTCACACAAAAAAAATCCCCCCATTTTCATAGGGATTCAGCCACAAGGAAAGCGTGATGGTGGAATGACCATACCCCATATACCATGAGGGATACGCAAACATTGCATTTTTCATTACTCAGAAAACATTCATTTTGTCTTTGGGGTACACCATATTGCACAAGCCCATTTGTTGGATGCGATAGTGGATTAGATTTTTGAACGCACAGAGCACAGAAAGAGCCTCAGAGAACTACAGAATCACTGACCAGTTTTAGATTTTTTGAGGATATTTTGGTGTAGCAAAGCGCCTTGTTCTGGTGGGTGATGGTCATCTTTCCATGCTGGGGTTACTTTGGCCGAAATCAAAACAGGATCAAATCAGGGGATCAGGGGACCAGGGGACCATCTATCATCATCTGGTTGGTGGTTTGAAAACCATTATATATGGATTATATGGGATGTCATCCTTCCCACTGACAAACTCATATTTTTCAAGATGGTTAAAAACATATATATAGAGCTACCCCAAAATGAGAATATATTATAAATCTTAATGATTTGGATTTATAATATATTCTCATTTTGGGATCATCTATCCTTCAATTGTTAAACATCACTTCAAAGGAGCTCCGAGATGGTCATGATCGGTCCAAGCAGCTAAAAAAATATAAACAATCCACTGGGTAATTAGAAACCATCCCGGATATTTGGACCATACATTTCACATATGTATAATATATATATAATTATATATATACACAGTATTGTTTTACCTTATTTAAATGGTTTCATTCGTGAACATGAGACCCTGGTTCCCGGGTGCTTTGACTCTTGCGATCTTCCAGCAAGATTCGGTACGCAGCTAACATCCATGATCCTAGGTCCAAGTTGCAAAAATTCGACCATCTGGTTTTTGAACGTAGCGAACTGGAAAAGCACCATTTTTAGTGGGTATATCATCATTCTTATCCTCGAACTAAAGCTTCCATAGCTATGCTAGATAACCAGGGGGTATCCCATTTTGGTATTTCAAGTTCACCTCGACCAGGATCAGTTTCGAGAGCAGGCTATGGGAGCCTCGCAGAACAAGGATCTGGTCCAAGCGCAAGAGGAGTGATCATCTTCATGGCTGATCTCCGAAATCCCAGAACATTGGGCTGGAACATTTCAATGGATGGGATGGATGGGATGGATAAGTCGATGACATTTATAAGATTTTATAAGATTTTATAAGAACCCTTGCAGGGTGTTTCCTGCAAACTTTGCCTACCCAGTGGTCACTGGCCAATACTTGATCGATTAGTCATCAGCCAGGGCCTTCAGGTTTGCCAGAGGAATCCGGATCCCTGTGCGTCCTTTCGCATATTTTGCCTCTTTGATATTCTTTGATAGGTTCTTACGAACTACAGGTGAAACCTGATTATCATTGATTATCCACCAAAGTTAACTTTAACAGCTGATGACATATCCAGCTACCGGTGGTTACCACTTGCAAACGGAAGCAGCTGGTCTCCATGCATCAGGAGATGAAGTCGCTGATGGTGGATGCATCTGATGCCCAAAGGCGTTTAGAGCAGGCAGACGACTGGTGGGGTTCCCATCAAGTGGGCAGAATAGGGATGCGATTGGTATGAATAGGGATGCGATTGGTATGATTGAGAATAGTGATATTAATATCGTGACATATCGTGACATGATATATATATATATATAATATGTATTGATTTTACCACATGATGGATCATGCTCAACTAACCACAAACTTGGATGTTTCCGCACTTTTTGACACCCAATTTTCACAGGTCAACAGCCATCACCTCCCATGCACTGTGTTGAGTCTCCTCCCATGGCTGTCATAGGTTGTCCCTTAAACATATTGGGGTTTCCATAAATGGTGGTACCTCAATAGCTGGATGGTTTATAATGGAAAATCCCAATCTAAAATGGATGATAACTGGGGGTACCCCCATTTTAGGAAACCTTCATATGGTGCCAAAAAAAAACATACCTCAGCATTTGTGAGGAAAGTGGATGGTGTTCAAGGGACCTATCCAAACTGGGTCCGTCAAAAATGGTATAATTGCCCCCCGAAATGGACATGTCAAATCTGCAAAATGATTTTCCCATGAAATCTACCCTCTGGTAATTTAACATAGCTATTGAAAATGAGCATTTATAGTGGATTTTCCCATTAAAAATGGTGATTTTCCATAGTTATGTTAGTTTACCAGAGGGTAGGTGTTCCCCTCAGATCCCATTGGAAACACCGGTTTTTCAGGTGGCCAAAAGCTCCTTGGAACTGCAGAGGGACTTGGCCCAAGCGAATGACCGAAGCTTGGTGGTGAATGCCGAGAATCAGAGCCAGATGGACAAGGAGACGTAAAAAAAGAGGATACCATTGGATTTTCCCAGCAGGATAGATGGGGATAGATGGGGATAGATGGTAATCACCAGCTATCGGCTGGTGAATCATCATGTTTCATGATTAAAAATATGGTATTTGGAGAGTACAGCAATTGTTAGACAAACCCAGACTCCAAGTAGTTGTATCATCATTTCATTATTTGATGGCATAAGGGTATACATGGGCATACCCTGTTTCTGGACAGATGCTGAAGAGGAGGCGGTTCTTACATGGCTGGTAGTCAGCTACAGATAGCTGGAGCACCCCAAAGTTGCCTGGATCTATAGAGATATTTCATCACCCACTTTATTTCATGAAATCCGATGTAATATCCCATTAGCCCATTAGTATCCCATTACCCTCTGGTAAACAAACATAACTATTGAAAATGGCCCAGTCTTTTTCTTGTTGATTTACCCAGCTATATCCCAGCTATAAAATGGTGGATCTTTCCATAGTTTTTGGTTAGTTTACCAGAGGGCATCCAATTAATCCTCCATGAATCTCCCATGAAATCGCCGCAGGAGGCCTTGCGGATTGCCGCGGAGGCTCACCTGCGACAGTGTCGTTGCAGGAACAAAGCAGGGGAACCCTGGCCGTTGTGGGCCACAACTGCTGGAGACCTACAGGACTTGGTCAAATTGGTCAAATAGGTTATCAACTTGGTCAATTAACCATTAACCATTATCAAATTGGTCAAATTGGTCAATTGGTTAACCTACAGGACTTGGTTGTTAATGGTTAATGGTTAATGGTTAATGGTGATAACCTACAGTGTGTTTTTTTTGGGGATGAAGTCTAGGACTGTTCCAAGTCTTCCGTATCGGGATATTTCATCCCAACTTGGACTATGAACATGATTTCCATTGAACTTACAGGGTTCAAAGATGTTCAAAGCGCAGGAATATGGAACTGGTATCTCACTCTATTTTAGATTTACCATCAGCTTGGGTACTGCCATGATGTTTGCTGCGCTGCTCACTCTGCCATTGTTGATCCTGAACTCCACTGGAACGGGCCTGACTGATGTGGATGTTGGGGCTGGTGAGCCGGGCTTTTTTGCGGTGAGCAGCATTGGCAACTTCCTGTCATCCAGCGACGGATCGATTTCTTTAAGCAAATTTGACATTAGCCCTGCAGACATCAGTTTCTGGCCGTGAAAAAACAACGATGTTTGCTCTCGTTCAGCCTCTATTTGGGCTTTGGTTCAACCAGCATTGGTGATTAATATGGTGATTATTTGTTATTATAGTTGGTGGATGTTGGTGATTAATGGTGATTAATGGTGATTAATATGGTGACTATAGTTGGTATACTATGGTATAATAATCAACTACTAGGTTATCACCATCAACCATTAATCACCTAATAGGAAATTCACCAATTCAGTATACCATAGTATACCAACTATAATCACCATCAATCACCATTCATCACCAACATCCACCAACTATGATAACAAATAATATACAAATAATATACAAATAAATATACAAATAATATACAAATTATATACAACTAATCACCATATAATCACCATATAATCACCATTAAGAAACCTTCTCCTCGCTTAAAATCATCAGGTTTTTACATTGGCGTCCTGGACGCCGTTTCCATCGGCCTGGTGCTGGCCCTGGCCGTGTGGTTCGAACGCGTGGTGCTGCCGGCGGCGGTGCGGAGCGAGGCCAGGACGACCGTGACGCCGGACGCCTACACAAGACTGGGATGGAGGGTATCCTCTGGTAAACTGAGAAAAAACGATGGGAAAATCCATGGAAAACTAAATGGGAAAATGGGGATTTATATGGAAAGATCCACCATTGAAACAATGGGAAAATCATGGAAAATCCACTATTTCGATTGGGTCATTTTCAATAGCTATTTTGACATAACCAGAGGCTATGATTTATGGGAAATCAATGGGAATATCCAGGACTTGTCACTATAATAACAAATAATAGCCAAATAATAGTCCTGGGTAAATTTATTATTTATCTTAGTGATCTTATTTTTCGCCAAAATGGAGTAATTATAGACCACCATTTATTGATAATTATCCTACTGGGATGGACTTGTGATGATTTCATTTTAGCCAAACTTGTCCTTTACCCCCGGGAAGGTTTTGACTTTACGGCATGATCCTAACGACGGTAATCATTCTTGGGGACTCAACCATCATAATTTTGGGATCTATGGAGCCTATTGCCTGTAACAGTGGGCAGAATTTACACCACAAAAAGTTGCACGAAAAATGTAGCAAACATATATAAGAGATAAACATGCAGCATGTGCAGCACACTTTTTCTGCTTGTTCAACCAGCTGCTAAATAATGCGGCCTGCCAAAAGAAATATTTTCTTGTGCAAGCAATGACAGAGTGAGAGCAACATGCAAAATGAAACCAAATGATTTGTTCAAACTCCTGGACTCCTGGACCAAAAAAATGCGCGCAAAAAGATGCAGAAAGACCCATCTGGAGCACGATTTGGAGCACAAAAAGTTGCACGCGAAAAGACCCATCGATTTGGAGCACAAACAGTTGCACGCGAAAAGAACCGATCTGGGGCACGATTTGAAGCACAAAAAGTTGGAAAAACATGGCAAGAAACACTTTTTCTGCAAAAACTAGTTGTGTTCTGTGCAATTTTGATGGGAATTTAAAATAATGGGTAACATGCACGATCAGTTCTTCAAATTTCCCATAAACAAAACCGCTTTACCGACTGTTACAGGTATTAGGCTAGAATCAATCTATACTCAATTTGGGGATATCACTATTATCAACCATCAAAACAACTAACTATAACCAATCGGTTAACCAAAGAAATGGTGTTTTCCATCTCAACTTTCATCTGGGATGATGGTCCCCACTTGACTGGATGATGATTCATATTCAGTTGCAAAATTTAGGTGGTGAAATACCAGCACCACAAAAAGGGCTGGGTTAGAAACTTTAACCTCACTAAAACTGGCTTAGAACATGGGATTGCTTTAAGGGAAAGATTGCGGGAACCCCCTATTTGATGAGGAAAACCATGGTTTCCAGTTAAGATTTTCCAACCACTCCAATGAATCATGTCATGCCCCCACCTTCTACTTCTACCCAGGATCTTTGTGAGTAACCTCCCGCGTCGTTTGGCGGATGATCGCCATTTGCAGTACGAGGAGCTCTTACGGCAACACTTCGAGAGGCAGCTTTCGGCGGAGATTACTCCGCAGATGCAAATGCAAGGGTGGACGGTGATTTCCAAAGAGGACGTGCTGGTGGTTGGTGGTGTGAAACTCATTGTTTTCACCCGTGAAAAACCCGTACAAAAACATGGGATGGCGATCCCACGTGACATTCATATGTTGGGTATTCCTTGGGATTTAGGATGACCCCAAAACCATCCAAAACCAACTTTCATCATTTTTTCATAGTTTTTCCGAATTTCCAGATTTTTCCAGACGGGAATTTCCATCCCACATCATCCCATCCCAGCTTCAAGGAACAGTTTCTGAACGAAACGCCCCGGCGTCGTTGTTTCATGCTGCGGGCCGCGACGGATCACCGGGGCCGTAAGCTGGGCTCCGTGAGCGACGTGGAGGGCTCCAGCGCCCTGGTAAGGTGGCCGGATGCTGGCGGCAATTTGGGGCCACCGGTGGAGGTGGCGCTGGATGGCAAGAAGGGCCTGTTGCAGGTGGGAAAACTGACTTTTTTGGGATGTTTTTGGGGGATTTTTGAGGCAGATGTGGGAAGCATGATGGTGAAAATGAGGAGGATGAGGATATGTGAGATATAGATTCTAAATGATTCTAAGATAGATGATATATGGTTGATATCCTCACATGTTTTTGCAATAATAACCCCGGGCAGATCACATGAGGACGGATGGTAAATGTTTGGTTTGGATGTTGATCCAGTTCTGAAAGCGAGGCAGATCTGTTGAAGCGCTTGGAAGAAGTGGGCTGTGAACCTGGCGAAGAGGGTCAACAAGCAGTTTTCAAAGTGAGCCTCATTCGCGACTTCAAAGGAAAGCTTCACAGCATGCGAAAGGTGCTGGAACGAGCCAAAAAGATCGGTGAACAGAGTGAGACAACTCCCAAGGAGGAGAAGGAACTTGCTGATGCTGAGGAAGAGCTGAACCATTTGAATCTGGAAGAGAAAGATGTGTTGGGTGCTTTCGTTACATTCACATATATCAAGTTCAAAGACTTTGTGAGTGTCTTGGCTCAACAAATGTCTCTTGGACTTTAAGGGACATATTTTTGTCGCCCAAAAAATGGTGCTTTTTGGCGATTTCGCCAGGTCAAGAGTATCGCTTCAGCCGACTCCTGGCGTTGGGTCCCTTAAGCCAGGGCCCAGATCAACGCTTCGAGGGCCATGCCTTGAAGTTGCACAGTGCACCGCTGCCCAGTGACATTTTCTGGGAGAATTTTGATTGTCCCAGCAGCATGCGGAGGTTGAAAACCTCGTTCATGGGCATCTTGGATGGAAATGTCTGGAAATGTTGGATAATGTTGGATAATGTTGGATAATGTTGGATAATGTTGGATAATGTTGGATAATGTTGAAGTTGGAAATATGGACGGTTTTGTTCCAATCATTCGGTTGTTGGCGGGCCAGGAACCGTAGCTTCACTGAAATCATGAAATCGAACAAGTGTCATTTCTATTTCACGCAAGACATCTCAGTGTGTTCTTTTACATCTCTCGGAACATCAGTGCAGCTTTGTCGTGCTGCTTGCATTCATTATTAATTCGCTTCCTGTCAAGTTATGCCAAGTTGCAGTTGTGAACGGGCGGAGATGCCATGGTTGTCTTAGTGATGTACGCCGCACCTTGAGGGCCTTCCATTTGATCATGTTTAGCACCTGAGAAGTTCGCTTTTTCAGTTACGCCAATGACCACCTCTTCAGGCCTAACTTTCCTGGTGGTGCTTCTGATTATGGTGCTGGGTCTGAGCTTAGCCAAGTGGGGTCGAGAGCAAGCGCAAGCGCAGTCCCCGGATTGTTCCATCTATGCCAACGTGACCACGGCGGTTTTTGCTGCGACCCTTCCTACGGAGTGCTACTGCGCGTGGGTGGGGGCTGCCACTCGGCATGCCGATGTTTTGATGTTTTGGGTCGACGGGTTGAGGATACCATAGGATATCATACCCAAAAAGACTAGAAACAACATGAAACAACTGTCAAATTAATCCAGATTTGTTGGATTTTAGTTCCCCTCTATACTTTCCGGTAGAATTTTTCCTTGAAACTGCTAGAGTTGCAGGTCTTTCCTGGGCTGTTGGGATTTCCGCCAATTTTGACACGGATGCTGATGCTGAACTGAGGCCAACATTTTGCAGGACCAACCAGCTGGGGTAATGGACACGTGTCAAAGTTATCTTCAAACGGTGGCCTTTGTTCAGTCCATGGTCATTGGTGCAGCCATTTTCTCATCCGTTGCTTGGACGCAGATCTGACGAGGTAAGGCCATTGTCTCATGAACATTCCGGGATACCACAGATACCACAGAATCCAGCGATCTTTCTCATTCTGAATCATTCTACCATATATATAGTTTCTCAATGGTTCTCACATTTTTTTTCCATTGAAATAGCCATGACATGGCCATGTTCCCTAGATCACTGGAACCGGTTGTCCAGATCATCAACGTGGGGTCCGGACACCTCATCTCTCTGTTGGCGCACTTCATGCAGCCACCCAACTGGACAGCCGGGATCCCAGTGGCATCAGTGGCGGAATGGGATGGTAATTGTATTGGTTTTCCATCATATACCATTATTAGATATTATAAGATGATAATGGAATATGATGGAAAACCAATACAATTCCGGAATTTGATAATCAATTATTCCATCTAATATATTGATAATCATCCACAATTCTTGGGAGTATTCTGGGATGATTGGGCTTTGGAACTCGCTGTTGTTTGATAAAATTTTGGTACATTGGCTTCACCATGGCTTTGGAATGGCCAATGGAATATTTGGGGACCCTTCAATGGAACTTGGAATGGTTGTTTTCCCATCATGTTCCCTGTGGAGTTTGGCGAGTATTTTGGGAAAACTATCTACACAGTTTGAATGTCATGAAATGAGAATGATCCGATTTTTTTTTGTTTGCATTGAATACCTTTGGGCCAGATATTGGGACACTGAGCGAAGGTTCAAACAAAGGCGTGAGTTTGTGTGCCAAAAAACAGACTACTGCGCAAGCCAGTGACAGAATCCGACACAACTTTCACCAGAAAAAAACAATTCACGATGATCATCTGAAAATCAAATCTGAAAATCAAATCTGACCATCTGCTGATCCTTTCCATCTGTTCCCCCCGCCATCCCGCCAGTCACCAGTCCTTTCAGGCTTTGGAAACCAAAATCACAGAGATGACCTTCTTGGTTCAACTGCTGACCTTGGGGGTGGTGGTGACCCTGGTGTCCCTTGCCGGATATTTTATGGGATTCGCATTGAAAAATGCCCATAGGGTTTCATCCACATCTGTATCCATTTCCTCAGCTTTCCCAGGTCCTCCCAGGTCCACCAGGTCCAAATTTTCCCGAGGAATGCGGATTTCGGCTTCGGGTTGGGCGCGGAGAAGGGCATCTTGGGCCTCGTGGGCGCTGGGGATTACCCGGACATCGACCGGGCCTGGACGGCGGCCGTGGGGGTGGAGATCCTGACGCTCTTCCTCTTCAGCATCTCCACTGAGGCTGAAAATATCGGGATTTATGGATGTTATGGGGATTTCAGAGGGATTTCTGATGTGAAATTTCAGGGATTTTTCTGATTTGGATGGGAATTGATGGGAATTAAAAAGGGATGTTTTTTCTGGCACATTTAAAAACGGGGAGAATTGGGGATGGGATCACGGGCCTGTAGCCATGTGGCCATGTGTCCAAGCAGTGGCTGCCGTCATGGTGCTGTGGTTCAAGCTTTCCTGCTGGTGTTTTGGCCCCAAGAAGAAGACTTGGAAGGACTGCCTCTAGGATAGATCAGTTGCGACTGCTGTGAATTTAACAGGAACCTCTCCTTACCATTCAAAGCTCAAAAATATTAGAGTGTTGCTCAAAATGATTGACCTCTGTTGAAATATGGCTTGATTTCGTTTTTAAGAATTATATAGATCTTGTGTGATGTTTGAGTTCCAACCATCTCCCATTGCATTGCTAGCCGCAGGAGATGAAAGCCCTGTACACACCGCCAGAGTTCGAGCTGGCCCTGCGACAAGCCAGTCAACTCTCTGCTGTTTGTGCAGCCTTGCTGTATTCCTCCTGCCTGCCCATCCTGAGACATGGCGGTGTATTGTGTGTATGCTGAAATTTTACCATGAGATATCCATCCGTCCATCGGCATCCATAGCATATCCCATGGCTGGCCACTAAGCGGCCGCGGAGAGAAGGTAAAAGTTTTCAGCAATCTCCTTGGCATATCTTGGCATCACATGCTGGGATTTTCTTGATTGATGTGTAGCATGAACGAGGGTCTTCGGGGCAGATGGCAACATCTTGAAACACAAGTTGTTCTTGGCCACTTCTGGGAAAGAATCCACTAGCATGTGTTTAAATATGGCATTTACATCCAGTAAAATAGGGTACTGTATCAATTCAGTAAAATGTGGTCAATGGTCAACATCCAGTATAGTATGGTATCGCTAAAATCCCATAAAACACAGGTTACTAAGTTAAACTACGGTTGAAAACCAGATGAATTTGGGCACAGGCCTAGCAGGGCCTAGCAGCCTGAGGAATTTGATCTTGGCCGTGCGGCTTTTGGCCATGTATTGGACCAGCAAATTCGAGCTGCTCCGTGGCAGCAGCGTGCCCAAGCGCTTCTCTCACGTTCTGGCCTTATCGGCCACCCGATGGGTACAGGTGGATACCATGGGGATCTATGGGGATGGTATGTGACTATACCACCAACCAAAAAATGCTGATGACTGATGGTTTATGACCTTGTTGTACCTATACATTAATCATGGTATATCATTGTAACGTGATGGCTACCAAAGGTAATCAAAGTAAATCATCGAATATCATCAAATAATCGGCAGTATCAGGGAAGCAGTTCCCCCCCATTTTTGATGATATGGGTGAAGGGTGAAGGATTGGTTGATTGGTTGATCACTGAAGATGCGGGATTGATTCCCTGGAAGGCCAATTTCATAGGGAACATGATCATCAACGGAAAAACAGATAGATCTGTCTGAAAATGAGGCATTTATATGCATGTTTCATCGTTTTTCTCATTTTCATGGTCATTTCATGGAGAAAGAAAGCTATGAACTTTTGGGGTTTCCCTGATTTTCCGACAGACCAAAAAATCGCAGGTGGCCGTCTTCTTTCACAGCGCCTTGGCTGTTTGGGTCTTTGGCGATGCGCAGATGACCGGGACGAAGAATTTCTTTTTTGACACCAGTGAAGCCAGCAGCTACGTGGCGGAAGCGAGCAAAATCCTTGGGAACCAGGCGGAGCGAGCTGATATTGAGGGGTTCATGAGACCTATATTTTTTTTGAGACCTTTAAGTAAGTGCAGAAATCATTAGAAATCTATAGCTCATGGAGCTTGTTGTTGTGGTACAACCCCACATGAAGGATAGGGTTTACGGAGTTTTAGCCATGGATCCTCCATCCACCGTGCCAGTTGGCGGTGGTGGTGAAGATTGTGGTGGAGAAAGCCTTGACTCCAGCAGCGATGCCCAATGCCTTCGTTCTGGCATTGGTGGTCACCAAGTGTCTAGCCGTTTCGAATAGGGAAAGATTCGATGATCTGGGAGAGAGAAGGCTCTGAAGCAGCCCCCATGGCGAGAAATCGATCAGTATATGATTTGCGGCACAACATCTTGCTGTGCTAAAAAGTGTGAGTCCTGTTGAGTGCAAATCCGCCAAGATCAGCTGTCTGATTATTTTGTGCCTGTCAAACAAAAGAACTACTGTAATATGAATCAATCCTTCTTCCATAAAAAAGCATAAAAAGTATCATATGTGAATCGTGAAGGAATTCTTCTGGTCCCCATTATGGATGGTATTTTGCTTGTTGAATCCCATATTATCCCCATGAATCATCCCTTCCCAGGTGGTCCCTGGGTCTGTTTTCCTTCCTCCTGGGTGAAGCCGAATGGCAGCAACTCTTGGCAGCATGTCAAAAAGGCCTGGCGAAGGCCGGGTGATGGGTGGTTTCAAGGAAAATCCCCATGAAAATTCCCATGACAAGTGGATGATTTGGGGCTAGCCCTATTTTAAGAAACCTATTTGGAACCTCCCACATGTAAAAAAAACATCGTTTTCCAAGTAGTTTTATACCTTGGGCAAGACGAATGACATTGAATGATATGAAAGTTGAATGTTGAACAGCGATGATTGGGTACGATGACGATATGTTTACATCAATAAATGATTGGCTATGATTCTATGATTCATTTTCTAACAACGTATTTTATATGCTGAATGTTCTATGGCCACATCATTTACTATTGGTTGGTTACTGTATATCTATATATGATTATGAATTATATCTATACGATTCATGCTATATCATACTTGATGTCCCGATCGTCTACTATATCATTTAGGACACTATTTTGAATAATCAACCTGGGTAACTGTTATAGTATATTATTTTGGGCAATTCAATTGTTCGACCCATTTACGAATGGCATGATTCCCAATTATCCTATATAGTAAATGGAACATACATAGTTACTGTATCATTTACCAATAGTACATATGTTTAAAAAAAACAATCATAATAATTGCATATTCCACATTTATATATATATATATTTACCATAGTATGAAACTATATCATTCCATCTATAATTTTTATTACTATCGGTCTCGTAGGATTTTCCAAACTTGGCCGCTGGAGGTCTTCCCATGCGCGAAGCAGTCACAGAGGAGGAGCATCTTTGAGCGCCGCTTCGATAAGGAGCCGATGCAAGAGATGCTGAGGATGAAGATCAATCCAAGTCACTTGATCTTTGGGAAAATCGATGGGAAAATCCATCTGTGATGTTTAAAGATGTAAAAAAATATTCTGAAAAATTGAAAATCATCTAAAAATGGAGCTGCGAATCATCCATAAATCCTGAAAAATCCCAAGTTTTGGCTGGTGAACTCGGAACAAAATCCCCGTGACATGGCCAGAAAAATGGGATCAAATCGCCCAGATAAATCATGATAAAAAAGCCCCATTTTCACCAAGAAAATGGGATAAATCGCTATAAATTCCAGCATTTTCACCAGGACCCCATGGTTTTTTTTGAGGTTACGACCTTTGGTGCGGCAGCGGCTTCGAGTTTCTGACCCCCGGCGCTGCGGGGGAGCGGAGCATCCAGGCGGCGCTGGCCGAAGCCAAGCGACGCAAAGAGGAGGAGGCCAAAGGATTGCCACTGGACTGGGGGATGGGTTGTTGGTGGATTTCATGATGGATTTAGTCATTTTTGTGGTGGCTGGGACCTGGGAATTATATGAGATTTAATGGGATAGCCAACTTAATATGAGATGGTGAAAGATGATGTCCCCATTTACGATAGCTTCATGGTGATGAACTTGGCTGACCAGGATTTCGTTGGAATTTTCATGGGTAAGAAATAGTGCTCTGGGCGAGCATGATAATATGGACTCATCATGACTCATCAGTTTGTAGATGATTTCCCAATTCCATACCTATTCCGACTGTTGATTTTCCAGTGCGGGACAGATTCCCCACGCACCTTGGGGCTGAGGCTGGCAACAAAATCCTCACGTACCAGTGAAGTGAAACCACTGACATCACAGCAGTTCCTTCCTGTACAGCTTGTGGGAAATGCCACGGAGACCGAATAAGTCGAGCACCAGCTTAGCCGGCGTCGAGCCATGCTTAGCCTATGTCCGGTGTCCGACATCATGGACTCCGATTTTTGATGTCGCTCAGATAATGTCTCTAGGTCTAGGGGCTGATTTTCGCATGGACTTCTGCAGAAAACGATTGAATCGATGCGTTTTTGCATCAGTGGAAGGTCCATCCAGCAGCCTCAAGCTTTGACCGTTGGAGGTCTGGGTGATTCCTCCGTCAGCTTGGAGCTGACCGGCGAAGTTTGTGGAAGTTCTTGTCGTTCAAAGTCCATATTTGAATGCGCTACATCCAAAAATCTATTGGTAATATCAAACTTAGTATAAATTGATAGCAAATAATGAGACTATTTCACTCATCTTCAGACATACCGATAGCAAATAATGAGACTATTTCACTCATCTTCAGACATACCTTCGACTATCTTCCAACGTAGTTGCCTACATTACAAACGCTTAAAGGGTTTCTGTAAAACACCACCAACCCCGGAGGAAGTACCCAAAATTCCAGCCACAGTGGTTTTTTGCCCAGCGCATCGCCCAAGGCGATGAGTCAACTGTGAAAAGATGGAGATTTTACGGTGGCACAGTTGGGATAGTTGGGGTATACCCTGAATCCACCATTTTCATGAGACAGCCATATCAACATTGGGCCATTGGGCGATTTTGCCTGATTTGATGTTTAAAGGCGCCGCAGGCTTTTCCATGGTTTACCGTTTACCATTGTTTACCATTCTGAACCAAGGGTTGCAGGGGAGGACTAGATTCGAGATTCTCGAATCAATTTCCATACCCTACGGTTTTTCATTTTGTTTCCCAATTGTGGCTGGTTCAATACTTTTCTGGGGAAATGTTTGCATCCATAGCAGCCAGCTGTTTGGGTGTGAAAACCAAAGTTTTGGATCATATACTCAGCATCACATCTCCCCATTTCCTCTCAAATCTGTGCTGATTCAATAAAATTCCATATTTTTGTTGCTGAACCCCCACATTCTTGATGATGAAATCCCCATAAGATTTGGTTATCAGTTCATATCCGACTACAATGCCCGATTTCGACCGACCATTTGTGTTTGGTGAATCACCACGTGTTTCTTGCTGAAAAATCACCACGTTGCTATGAATAGCTGGTTGGTTTAATCACCATCTCTGCTGGGTAAATTTCTTTTTTTCTTCGTTAAATCCCCTTTTTTTGCTGGTGAAATCTGGAAAACTGCTGAGCTAAATCTCTCAGGTCCGGCGCGGCAGAGACGGAGCTCTTCTTTCAGCGACAGAAGGACTTGGATTTGCTCAGCCGATGTTTTGCAGTTTACCAAGGAAAAATTCACGAATCACCACTGGAACCTATAGGGAAGATGTTTTTCCCTCTGGGGTTCCTTAAGCAAATCCAAGATTTTTTTCTAGTTGTCGCCTGGGATAAAATTGGATATCCCCATGAGAGCGAATTGTTTCTTTGTTGATTTACTCCATAATGTGGAAAGACAAGATTGTTACATCATAACCCCATTGAAATATCCCCATCAAATCCCTTCCTTACGTTCTGCCAATTTATGGGGATATCATGGGGGTGCGGGATAAGATGAGGATATTCAAATTGGATTAAACCAACGCGTAGGGGGATAGGATGGGGTCATACTTGGGATCAGTCCTTCTAATCAGCGACCATGGGGATTTATAGGGATATCAATTGATGGAGGGTTGGTGGTAGATTGTGTGTATTTTAGATGGATGGTTCAACACGTGAATAGCTATGTGTAGGGGGGGTTGAAAGTTGAGGTTCCATTTCAAACTTCGGGGTACTATAATTTTTCCAGTGCGTTTCTAAGTCAAAGATTCGTGAGATCCATTAACTCCAGGCTTTTGATCTTCAAGATCGACAATTGTCCAACTTGAGGAGGAAGGAAAGTCGTTGTTGATCATGGTGCACAAAAGCCACTTGGATGCGCAACGTTTGGCAGTGCCACTGCTGATGTTGCTATGATTTGCTGTGGCTAGGTTAAAAATCTCTTCATATTCGATGACTTGGCCTGAACATATGCGAACCCCCTAAGTCCACTGGTGAATCATCATTTTCCCTGTTTAAACTGGCCATATTTGGCCATCAGTTGAAGTGAGGTGATTTGCCTGACGACAAAATAGAGGCGTGAGGCACTCAGGAGCTGACATGGGATGAAGAAGATGGTTTTTTGTTGAGATGCTTCAAGTTTAGCATGTGATTACATGTTCACTGGTTGGTGTTTTTTTTAATTTTTCCATACAGTGAGAACAATAATCCTATTTGACTTTCATATTTTTCAGAGGGGTGGCTCAACCACCAACCAGTTCATTAATATGTTCAAAATCAAGATGTTGGCTCAGACATGGGATGACTGTTTTTCATTCTCGAGGTGGCAGTGGATTCTCTGGGTGGTGCTTCTGGGACTCACCTTTTTTGCCTGTCTCTCCACGCCCTTGGCCGTTGGGGTCTCAGAGAAATGACGTCGGATCTCCCAGTGGGTCCCACGCTACGCTGACCTGACACCGCATGGTCCCAAGATGTCCCAAGGTACAGGCGGTGGGTCCTGGAGCTGCAGTGCCCCCGGCAGACGTTGGGACTTTGGAGAAGGGATACATCTCAGTTTTTTTGGGATCATCAATGTCTGAAAATCACTCAGAAAATGTCACAAACATATGAAAAATCACATCAATGATTGAATCACTCAATATATCAAACCAATCAATCAACCATTGACTGATCAATCCATTAACTCAACTATATCAAAGCAAGCAATCTGTCAATCAATTAACCATTTTATTTTGAAAATTGCAAAATAGTGTCTTTCAATAATTGGTTTATATTAAAATGATAGTTCCAATAATTGGTATTTATTGCATCAATCAACCAATATCAACCAACCACATCATTCTTGACATCAGCCAGACGGGCACCGACGTCACTGAGCTGGTGGCTGCTTTTGGGAAGGCGGCTGTGGCATTCTTCCCCGGAAGTCCAAGGACTGGAATGTCAGGGGAAATACGGAAAGACAATATTAAATTATACGTATATATATATACACAATATATAGTATACATTATATTATATAGTATACATTATAGTATATATTATACATTATATTTTATATTATATATATATGTCAATGTATATATTGTATATTACATACATTGTATAAATATATATATATATATGTGTATGTATTATATATAGTATATGTGTTGTATATACATATTATATCCAGAGGCTTGAAGAGAATGGATTTGGTTATGTTAAAGTTAAAGTTATGTCAATATGATTTTATTCGATGATTTGTCAAAATTCTCATATTGATATGGCTAATTTGATATTACTCCATTTCGTAATGTTACCCTCTGGTAAACTAACATAGCTATTGAAAATGGCCAATTATATTCAATTTTGCCTGCAAAATGATGATTTTCCATAGCTATGTTAGTTTACCAGAGGGTAATTATGGTTCCATTCCATTCCCAGCTAATCTACTATATCTACTATATGCCATTCCTTGCTATGGTAATTATGAATAATGATCATCGATGATATTCCATAGCTATTATCACATGAACATTCCATATTACTATATATTCCTAGCTATTATATTTGATAGTAATATGGAATATATAGTAATAATAGGATCATTATTCATTAACTTATGATTTCATTAACTATATATCATATTAACTTATCATTATCATTTCTATGATTCGACATGATCATTTTTGAGGGGCGCCCCATCAGGTGATTCCCATCGCATTTTGCATCCTGGCCACAGTGGCAGCACAGGACCGAGCCGGCTGATAGTTCGGGTACAAATATCGATTTCACGTGAGTGTCACTGGGATATTCCCAATACACTATATATATTACTATATATATATATATAATTTTATAATATAATATAATATCATATCATATAATGTCATATCATATCATATCATTTATATATATACACATACAAATATGCATGTATATTGTGTATAATTCTATAGGCGTTTAAATATTATAAAATGCTTGGTTCCAGGGTTTCAGATTCGCAGTTGAACATTGACAGGAGACGGCTCGCCGTGCCGTGGCATCCAAGTATGGGTCATGCTGGCTTTAAGTTCGAACAAGGTCTTGTAAAAAGATTATGTTCCTTCTAGAAATGGTCAAATAGAAGGTTTCCTAGAAATTCCGACTGATTAAATGGCTATTAACTTCCTTCCTTCTAGAAACGCCAAATCTGGAAGTTGTTGGTGTTTCTGATTGATTTTTTAAAGCTATTGAATCAACCCGTCTGATGGAGTTTCCTGTTGTGCCATTGCGATGCCAGGGTGGAGTTGACTCCGCCCTATTTGATTCCAGCCATTCCGCTAGGGTGCGGCAGCTCAACGCCAACGCTACAAGTGAGCTGACCAAACCATGTATGATGATCAGGACCATTACAATGGTCATTCCTCATGTTCCTTTACTTTTTTAGCACAGTCAGCATGTTCATCATCATTATCATCATCATCATCAATTTCTTCATCATCATCATCATCATCATCATCATGACTCATGACGATTTTTTTCATTACTATGTATTATATTATAAAACACAATGACAATTACTATGATTATTGCTGTGGTTATTACGTACTACTTAGTTGTTACTATGAACATTACTATCATTGCTATCACCATCATCATTATCCTCATCCCCATCATTGCCATCATTCACCATGTGAGGTCAGTGGGATGCCTGGGTGTGGTGAGCAGACGGACTGGCACCGCTCCAAATCGCGAGGCACGAAAAGTGTGGTTAGTGGCGTGGGTGGATGCTTCAATAATCTTAAATATCAACCCAAATATCAGATATAATTTCAGGGCTAGTGGCTGAAATATCTTAATGAAATTAATGTAAGGTGATACTGTAATGTGGAGATAGTTGTATCGCATACTATCCCGCTGATGGACTTTGTTGCGGCATTGGAACCCAGCCATGTGCGTACTCAAAAATGGGATCTTGATGGACTGAACGGTGGGGAGTTCCCACCCATTGGAAAATGCAGAACCCGACTCAGCCATTTCGTCATGGCTTGACGCTACTGATTCTTTTGGCGCGCCGTCGAATCAAACATGGGAAATCCCAGAACTACCTGGGGGTTGCTGGGAAAATCATCGAACGAAGTTGAACGAAGTGGGGGAATTTCCAGCCATCGATTGGTCGCTGGACGCCAGTCTGAAGTGAACATGTCTCTGGCCGCCCCCATTGCTGGCTTTGTCGTTGGGTGCTGAGCATCTAGCAAGAAATTTTTGGTCACCAACCAGGTTACAGGCTCATGGGTCAGAATTGTTTTTTACATACAAATTTGGAAGATCATCATTCAAATCGGAAATTAATTTCATCCCAAACATTCACGTAACATTATGGGTTATTGGGTCCTAGTGACATAGTGTTTGATCAAAGAGTTGATCCAGAATTTCCATGAATTTCCTGCACATCGCAGCACGAAATGGCGATGTCTCAGGCCTTCAGAAATCCAAGTTTTCTGGTTTCGGGGGGGTGAACTCTCAATGGTTCTGGGAAATCCGTTGGCCAAAGAAAAATGGGGTTCCTGCTGCCATTTTGTTTGGTTAATGTTGGTTAATGTTGGTGAAAAATTCCCTAAAATCAACAAACAACTACCAGATATTTTTTTCCAAAACAACTACCAGAACAATTTTTTCAGTTGTTTTTTTGGGAAACCGCCTGAGGTGTCAATTGGCCTCATCATTGCAGGGCTGACCCTGGGTCCAGACGCGGAGCGCTTCCGTAGGGCGGGTCGCATTGGTCATTGTTGATGGGATAATCCCAATGGGATTTATGAGTTTATTGGGACAATGATGGAATGGATATGATTGAATTGAATGATGTTTCTGGTGAATTTATGGGAATGATGCATTTAACAATCTCCATAAACATCTATTCAATGGGATGGAATGATGAGTTTATTGGGATAATTATGGGACAACATCTCCATTCCATCCCAAAAAATAAGGGCTAATGTTAGATCTTCGAGAGTTTGAGAATGATACTTCATATATTTGCTTGGGATGTATCATTACTTATACTTATTAGCCTTTTGCAGGAGACCATAAATTTGGTTGACTGTTTCGTGTCAACATGGATTGTGCATTCTCCAATTATTGGGTACCCAAGTTTGACCCGCTACCCTCTGCGTATTGAACATTGCTATGCAAGATGGCCCATATAGAGATGATGCCCCTATTAAATTGGTAATTTTCATGAAAAAATCCATACCTATGTTAAATTGCCAGAGGGTAGTAGAATCTTGGAGGGCTCAATCACCATTTACGCCTGTCACTGATGGGTTCAGTGACCCTTCTGCACCCGTGCTCGCCCCCTGCAGACTGCTTTTTGCCTCCATCGCCGTACATAAAATGACACATCTGAAGTGAAGGATCGGTGGCTGGACATGACGTGCGCGATTTAAGAAACCGCCGCTAGAAGAATTTCCCATGGATTTCCGCACAGATTAGAACGACCTCACCAGGACCACAACATAGATCATGGGTAGGAAGGGCAACTTCTCAAGGTGGCTAATAGGGTCTGAAAATGTCTGAAATATTCTGAAATATGGCCAGAATATTGGAGGTGTTTTTTTGAAGTTGTGATGATTTTATTTGCGGATGTACTTCCTGCTGGAAAACCTGCAACAAATTGGAACAGCCAGGAGTTTTTAGACCACCAACATCCACCAACTATGTTTTTTCTCAACAACAAATCTGACAATTGGAAACATCTACCATGTTTGAAGGATTTATGGAGTACTTTTCTTTCAACTATGGATATAATATATTGATGATATATATATATATATTTATATACATGTTGTTTTGCTTTGGGAAAAACAACCCATCTTAACCATCATAATACTCATATAGACCCTAAAAAGGTAAACACATATATGTCAGTTGGATTTTGCAACCTTCTATATTATAATAGGGGCTGCTATCCTATTGTGATGTTGCCGTTGCACGTCCCTGGTGACACGTCGGCCCTGGTGACACGCCCCCCGAAACGCGCAAAACGCCATGGGCGGAAATGCCTCGCAGCCTGTGGATCTTCCAGCGCTGCCACAGCAGCGCATCGTCAATGTGCGCGATGGTCAGGCCGATTGAAAACCGGAGATTGAAGATGCCAATGATTATTTTGGGATATCCCAAGTTTTTTGAGGATATTCCAAGTTTTTGTGGGATATCCCGAGTTTTTAGCCATCATATCCCATACAAAAAGATAGAGGATTATACAAAAATACATGGTTAGCAATATGTCCCATTGATTTCAGCAACTAGGTCAACTAGTGTAATGCATAAACACTTGGGATATCACTGGGATGAGCTTTCTGATTTTGCGGGTAATACACCCCAAATGAATCCAATTGATGACTTTAAGGGAACATGATGATTGACGACCATTGGACATGGGGGTACTTTATCTTCAGACAAACCCATGCATGTATATATAATATATATATATATACATAAACATGTCATGAACACGATGATGATGATGATGATGATGATGATGATGATGACAACGACCACCACCACCACCACAAAACAACAACAACCACCAAAAATATGTGTGGCATATATATTCATACTAGTATTATATATATATATATATATTATGTATCTATACATACTTGCAAGGTGAATCAATGTTTGAAGACCTGTAAGGATGTCCGTCCGACCTTTTTTTTCTTGGCCTTTCCGATTCGTTCCGGAGGCTGAACCCATGGAACAACAGCCGCAGATTGGGACCTTGCAGCAGGCAGGATGTGCAGCATGTCCCAATCAATGGGGGATTGGATGCAAGAACACAATATATATATATTGTATACTCTATATATGTATATACTGGATGGACCTGGATGGATTGAATCGCAATGTGATCGTCATATTGGTCATACACAAAATGATATCACTTTGATGTTTACTGTTTCGGAGCGTTCGATGAGTTTGCAGCAGGGGATTCACAGCGCTTGACTTATGCCGACCTCCATCATCCTCAGGGATTGCAGGAAACTGGCATCATCCGTTGACGTAAACCATGATCAGTTGGATTGTTATGTGCCGCCTTATGTACATACATATACACATATGTATATATATATATATGATATATATATATATATGATATATATATATATATGATATATATATGATATATATATGATATATATGATAAGTATATATATATGATATATATGATAAGTATATATATATATGATATATATATGTATGATATATATATATATACACATACAATAACAATTATAGATACTATAGATATATTATATCCATAAATCCCGATCCCTCTGCACGAGTTCCAAAAAAACCCGGTGACCATCAGCCAGGCCGTGGCGGTTCGTCCCACGTTGTCGCTGGTGAAAGGCGCCGTACGCGGAGATGGCAGCGGCGTTCTCACCGTGGAGATCGCAGTGGCCTGGCGGAAACTGGGGAAACTGGGGACTTCAATGGGGGTCCTACATTACCCTCTGATAAATTAACATAGACCCTGAAAATCACCAATTTTTAGTGGAACCTAATTTTCCAACCCCTATTTGCCAGGGTCTATGTTAATTTACTGGAGAATATTCACCCATGGATTTCTCACATGGTGACTTTTCATGGGGATTCTGATGGGGATTGTATATATATATATATATGGGATTAAGCATGGGAATAACAAGATGATTGACCATGGGATTAACCATGAATTTCATGGGGTAACCAGTTACCACATGAGATTTCATGGTGGTTTCATGGGATAGATGTAACCAACTAATATGGGAGATAACTAGACATACTTGGGATACAAAGGGGGGGACCGACATGATCCAACTGAAGTAGCGGTCCGAGAATGGTGGTTTCTGGACCTATGGATGGTGGTTGACCATCATGAAAGATTCATTAGTGGACTATCCACAGCTAGAAATCAACCATGGGCCATGGGTTTCTGGCTGAAGCATTGCTCAACCATCCACTAGGTATCACCATAGCTATAGGTCACTAGGTCAAAGTTCTCAAGCGGTGAAACTTACGGCGAGGGCAAACAACCCCCGAAAAGATGCCACATTGGGCTGGGGATACTGAACTATATGGCAGCATTGTGATCATCATTATCTTGACTATCGTTGTCAGCGTTACCATGTCTCATTATCATTTTCACAGTTGTTATAACTGATGCTTTTGGTAGTGTTCTGATCTTCTCATAGAATTTCAAACTATATCAGACATGATCAGACTACATCGCTAGCCGATACACCCTTAATCTCCTGGATATCTTCCATTTAAAGGGCACGTCCCATGGTGGTAAACCTCGGCACGTCCCCCGCTCTAAGGCGACTGCTTCGGGGCACGTGGAACTCATTCTTCCAGCGCAAGAAGTCTCGTCCGCCGACGTGGCGTGGCCGAGGATTTCCATGTTACCCAGCTCCAAGGTCCAAAGGCCCGGGAGAAACCAAGGGGCTTTTGGGATGTTTTGGGTGGTCTATCCATGTCTATCCCAGTGGTCCCAGTGGCCTGATATCTGTTGATATCTGTTGATAGATTTGATGATGGTGAAACATGGTGAAACCAGAATTACAGTTGTATAGCGATATATGTAAAGCTACATGGGTATATATGGGTATGTAAGGGTATCGGTCGACATTTAGCCCCCCAAACCACGGATGAACTTAAACAGAATGTTTAAAGATACAAAGCATGATCAAAATGATCACAAATTAGTAGAGTAATGATATTGGACAATATTACCATTATTTTTGTATTCTATCAGGATGAACTTGGTAGTTGGACCGGCACGAAAACCGGCCGTGTTTGTTTGGCATTTCTTGGCTTTTTGATGGTTTGTATGCGGGGTTGGGGGTGGGCGGTTTGGGGTGGGTGACTAATAACGTTCACGTTGACTTGCACATAGACTTCATGCTACTGACGTTTCTCTCACTCTTGCACATGTATCAGATTGTAAGGCCACAGAACAAAGGATCCTGCTTTGAATACCTTGATCTTCCAGCTCGTGTTTCGTCAAAGTGCGTGATGCCACACCACAGGTATTCATGTCAGCCGTCAAAAGACTTGTGAAAACCTCATGGCCGTGGCAAGAAGAGAAAAACAACAACGACATTTGGCATGGAATAGAAATACTTGACATCTTCATAGTTCTCGAAAATGTTCACCAAGTCCTTAGTTCTCCATAAATTTTGAGCGCCGTTCTAGGGGTTGAACTGATGACCACATTTGCCTCAATGCAACTACGCACATTGCATGTCTAATGAAACCCTACTGGTATGCATAGAACCCCCTGTACTTGCGTACTTCAAACCAAATAGTATTAATGAAATAATATGAAATAGCTACACCACGGCCGTTTGCGGGACGGTGGTCCTAGTTGCATTCAGCTACTCGACCAGGTTGAGCATCGCAGCTTCCAGCGGGTCCCAAAGCATCAGCTTCAACTGTGCTGTGAGCCCGGCACCAAGAGAACCCCAACAACCTCTGAGTGGATGCGTCGATGGGAAGATGTGGAAGATGGGAGTAGGATGTCTACAAAAAACACCAAAAATCGTGAAACATGACCAGATTTCACCAGCAGTCAGTTTCAGATAGGTTGGATTCTTCAGTTCTTCTGGGCTAAGAAGGTTGTGACTGAAAATCTGCCAGTACTGCTCAGGTTTGGAGTCCCTGAGTCGCGAAAAGCGTGCAGGCCTTTTCCTGGCGACTGGGGCCCCACATGGCCGGCTGGGAGCACTGAAGTGAAAGCACACCCATCAGCTATGGAACTTGTACATGAAATTGAGTAAACAAAACACCTGCGACATCTGACATATCATATCTAATAGATGCATCAAAAACAGGGGAGATCACCAAAAAAACAGGGAATAGATGATAACAGATCCATATCTCTTCACATCTCTTCATATTGGGGTCTGAAAATAGAAAATAGCTCTAAACTACTCTGGAAACCCATTGGTTAATGATCATCTTCCCCATTTTTCATGGCCATTTTTTTTTTGGCCACGCCAGGTCTATGGCCCGCGGTGCTGGTGTTGCGCCCCGGCCCGGCGCCGGTCGGAACCTTGGTGGAGGAACCACCGGATGGCACCATGCTGGCCTTCTGTGGCTGGGTTCGGAAGGGCGGGAGCTGATTGGTGGTGAAAATCAATGTTTAAATCACCATTTTTAATAGGTAAACACAGGTAAACCATCTAAACATGACTGGATGATTTTTGGATTATGACTTTCCATATGGGAATAATCAGAACATGACTGGATTCTGACTGTCCATTTATTGGGAATGGAATAATCATCCCAAGTGACGAAGTCATGTATTTTTCAGAGGGGTAGGTCAACCACCAACCAGATGTCATAAACTATCCCCCAGTCACCATAAATATATAGGTGCATAAACCATTCCCAAGTTTAGTATAGACAGAGTGTCGGGTGAACGTAGAAGCGTTGGCTGCCTAACAATACCTGACGAGGAAGTTTGCCTCATCTTCACTTTCCTGGGAAACCCAATATCTGTCTGGGTAACTTTGGTAGGCCAACTAACAAGGAAGCTGTGCAGGTCAATGAATTTTACGAGAGTATAACTGCCAGGTTAGTTAGACCCACATGTTCTAAGATGTTCATCTGCCAGGATGTGTACTTCCAGGTTACTTGGACTGACATGTCTTAGGTATGTTGATCTGCCAGGATGCGTACTTCCAGGTTTATTTGCAAGGATGAGCGCTTCCAAGCTAGCTACCCCAACGTATCCTTTGGAACTAACTTCTGTGCTCTAAAAGGCAAATAATTTTGGTTTTCAGCAGAAATTAACGAGGATTTATACCAATTGTTTTTTTCATACATGAGGGAAACAGTAAGGAGCAAAAGGCCTGGATGATTAAGCACACCGTTGCTTCTCTAAAGAACACAACAAAAGAGAAGATAGTTTCAAAAATAACAATTACGCCAAATGAGTGCTGTGCTTGGCAAGTGTCACTACGAGATGTTCGGTTATAAGACACTTTCCTTCGCAGTCTTTTAAGGGATACGAGTTCAAAGTGACATAAACAAAGGTTGGCCAACAAGTATGTGGCAGGTGGCAGGAAGGCAGGATCATATTTCTGTAAAATGTTCATTTCAGATCCAGGCCCAAACTTCTTGGTTAGTGTTTTCTCTCTCGCTATGAGGTTGACATGGCAAGAGCCCCTTATAGGTGGTATAAACCATTCCCAAGTTTAGTATACAGAAATGGATTTTGATTGGGATATGGTCGTATATGGAATCGCTAACCCTTATCTTTGATGGGGAGATTGCCCTCCAACCATATGCGCATATATTACATATTATATATATATACATATTTGGTTGTGTGTGTGTGCTACAACCAAGAAAAAAGCTTCAAATCCTATCAACTTGTATATAACTACAATTCAAATTTTGGGCGCCGATGGACCCCAAAATTTGGCTCAATATGGTGGCCCTTACCACATGGTGGGAATGGATATGGATTACAGCATCAATGGGGGTACTTGTGCATATAGGCATGGGACTACAATTTTGGTATTGATGGCAACCAGTGCCATGTGTATATATATATATATAAGTAATGACTTGGAAATAATGGATGGGCTTTTTGGTTGGGATTGTATTTCCAGGATCTAAAATAGTTTGCAACGTTGAAATTGCCGGACCCAAGCAATATGCTACCAAGTAAACTTAGGCACCCTCTGGAATTTCATCATCTCAAGTTTGTTTATTCCAAAATTGGATGGTACCAGGAAAATCGTGGAATTTCATGAACAATCTGTTTAGATCCAAAGATGGGATGGTTTTGACCAACAAAATCAGGTGGGCTTTACCCAAGAACAATCAACAAAAACTCAACACAAAATGGGTGTTGCCCCAAAGTATCGACATACACCCGCTCACAAAATTCCAAAACATATCTATTTTTTTAGTTGCAGTTCCAATGATATTAGTGGTTACAAAAGAAACCATAGTTTTAGGTTTTTTTTTTTGCTAGCTGATGAAGGTTAAAATCCCATGCCATGACCCGAGGTGAGGTGAAGGTGCCTGGCTTGGGTCCCGCGGGTGTTGTGAATGTTTTATATACAATGCACATGTATGCTGCTAAATATATCATGATGTATCATGAATATGATGAGATATTATTTTGTAATGACACATAGATACATAATGCATTATATATATATATACACAACAGTATTTAATTAGACATAATTATATAATGGTTTTTAATGATATACAATGATAGATACTGATATGTATATAATTTATAATACACATTCAAATTATAAATCGTATTTACATGATATATTATACTGTAATGCATCCCCTCGCAGCGGATGATCCAGCCATGGCCAGGCAGGCAGCCTGAATGTGGTGCGGCAGATCATCGCCTGGGGAGGCGTTAAAAAAATGCTGGGGATGGAGGTGCTTTTTGTGAACCATAATGGCTAAGAATCCCAGAAAATCTCCAAATTAGTGCAAGTAAACACAAAATTGGGGACCTAACCTGGCGGGGAAGTCTATAATCCAAAAAAGAAAATGTGCTTTTTTTTATGGCTACCGCCAAGTTATGTTTCACGAGAATGGTTAATAATTTGTTTTTTTGGGCTACATGAATTCTTAACCAAGTAATGCGTGTGGCGAAGATTTGTCAATTATGAATGGTTCAGTTATATCTTCTAAACAAATAGTGGAATGAATGGAAGTGTTACCCCCAGATCATGTTTAACGCACTTTATTCTGGGATACAACCTCTGGATATCAAATGGATTTTCAGGAAACCCGTGTCTTTCATACCTTCAAAAAGAAAGCATCATTCCTGGAGAAATGGGGCCATCTGTGATTTTGAAACCGTTGAGTTTGCCTATATCTCTGCAACGAATGGTGTGCATAGATTCGATGATAAAACTAATGTGGTCCCTGACATGGACATGAAACATGATCTCAAAGTCAATAGGGATGGTGTACCCTCTGGTAATTTAACATAGCTATTGAAAATCACCATTTTTAATGGGAAAATCCACTATTAATGGCCATTTGGTGTGTTTGTCCACAAAACTATGGCAATCGAATGACATGATCCTCCCAGAGGTTTGATCAGACATGATCCCCACACCACAAGTGACCCACCAGCCATTTCAGTGGCAAATATTCTGCTGCACATGACAAAGCGACAACGTCCCATGGTGAAAAGGCAACCATGTCGAAATATGTGGCCCACACGCTTGCGACCACGTGGCCAAAAGAGATCTGTGCTTTTGACTTTTGCTAGTTAAATGCATTTGGAACATGTTTGCTGAACTTTGTCTCAAGACCACCTCGCAACTGGACCATCCAACTTAGGTGCGAGCATTATATATATATATATATCAAAGATTGCAATGGCGCACAGGCGACACCCCCAAGAGTGAATACATTTAAGTAACTACCCCAACCCCACCGAAACGAAAGATCACAAACAGATCCAAATCACTGGAGGGTCCACAGCTTTCCCATGCGCCATGGCGGGATCGCACTCAGCCTGGCCCTGGGTGAAGCGCTCGAGAAAGTGGACGTGCAGCTCCGCTGTGCCAAGCTGGTCGCGGCTGGGGGACTCTCCCAGGACCCGGCGGCAGCGGCACCAGGGTCGTTGGAAGCGGCGTTCACGGGCAGGGCTGGGCCGGAGAGCTATCTGCACACAGATGACCCGGAGGCTTTGGAGAGGGGTCAGGTTTGACAGGCCCAAATTTTGGTGAATTTGGGGATTTGGATCTTAATATGTCCCAGTCCAATGACCCGAGGTGGGCAAAGTGGGATGGTTTGATACATAACCAGCCATTTGTGGTTCAAATGACCAAGATTTGGTCGCCATACCCATACCCTACCCCAATACCACAGTTTTGCACCAATCACTGGCCATCTCTATATGATGGAGATGATCCAGATGATCCAGTACTGGTTGCTATAGTTTCAATTGTTCTTTGTTTTCTGGATGCCTTAAGTTCACTCTGCTTGATTGCTCAGGGATTGCTCGCCTTCTCCTCAAAATGATGTCAACACATACGTTTCGGAAAAAGTCATCGATCTCAAGTAATCTCAAAACTGTTTCCCCTCAACATTCACATTTACCATCAACATTTGAGGGGGTCAAGCCATGTCTGCAGGCCATCCAGTTCTACAAGTCCCTTCGGGCCAACTCCGTCTTCGGGGCCCTTCCGGGAGGACCGGCCTCCGAACACATCTGTCCCATGCCCGACTGGGCCTGGCGTAACGCCACGGGGATCTTGATGGATCACCAGTGTGGCTGGGGCACCAATGTCGGGTGGATATGGGTGGATGTCATCCTGTTACTGAGCTACAGTATACTCACTAAGGCATACTAAGGCTATAGTTGGATGAGAACTGCAGTTGCCAAGAAGAACATCCTGAGTTCTCCAGTGTTTTTGCAGATACCATTCATCACCTTCATCTTTATCTTGAACATACCTTAAGCAACCATAACCCGAAAAAAACAAGGTTTTAGGAAAAAAACCATAAAATTCTCCAAAAACCTGGTTATCGCCCAAAAACCTGGTTTTCGGGTTTTGATGGGTTTTGTAATTTTCGGGGTTTGGTCGCTTAAGGTGAACAACTGCATCACATGTGCATTCGGTGGCACATTGCAACAAACTGTCGCTTTTCCGCTGAATCGACCCCATCAGCTGATAATGTACCCCGCATTGCGCCATTCTTGATGGGCCTTGGTTAAATATCGGAGGATGACTCTTTCAACCACCGTGCTAGCATGTACCCTTCGGGCAGTTCTGCTAGCTCTGCCAATGAAATCTTCCGACAACTGGGTTGCGTAAACCAACGGGTTGATAACAAAAGCCTGGCGATGGCCTGCCAACCAAAGATCAACCAAAAAGGCATGGTGTAACTGATGGTGTTTGGGTACGAAAATGTACAACACCTTCCCTTGTCTATATGCTTCCTTTGCAAGCTTGTCGTAGGTGGCTAAAAAGCGAAGCCCAAGCTCCCCAAGCCCAATGGCAGTGGCACTAGGAATCCAAACATCCAATTCGTACAGCTGTGCAAAGAACGAATTGATACAACTGCAAGCTTCCTTTTGCAATTGGTAAAGAACATTCTCCGACAAGTCTGCATCTTGATTCCAAGCATTGAGCCATCTCAGAAGCACTGTAGTTGCAGCACCTTTTGACCATATAGCTGAAGGCATGTCAGTCGTGCTTGGCCACAAGATAGTCTCCTTGCTGATGTAAGCCAAATATGCAGTTTGGCCATTGGCCTTGCACCAGTCCAAGTAGCTAGACGATAAGGCTTCAAAACGAGCATCTTTGGATCGCCCAGGAAACAGGTCTGATATCAGTGCCAGTGTGCTGGCAACAAAAGTTTTGCCAACACCGAGCGTAAAACCATGCCAGATGTCGAACTGAAACATTGCCTCCGGTTTCTGTCTCAAGCACATCAGGCGTGTGAAAGCTGGCACCGACTTGAACCCAGACTCAGCATACATGGTTGGAAGCCACAAAGGAGTCCGCGTTCCCAACTGTTCGAAGGGGTAATCACGCTGACCTGCCCGACACAGGTGGCATATACCTTTCGGTTGCTCCTGCCTTCCAGACTGCCCTCTGCCCTTCTCACAGTTGTAGTAGCTTCGGGCCAACCGGCCGCACTTGACCAAGAACTGCCAGTCTCCAGTGACTGCTATGCAAATCATCCAGAAGCGTTCTCCAGATGTCGGGTCAACCACTCCATGCCGACCAACGTCATCAGCGCAATTTGCTCCGAACTCGAAAATATCTTGCACTGATTCATCCTTTCGGTAAAGGTGCTTTGGCAAAACGCAGGAAAGCATGTGTGTGGTGTAAACCGACCCGACGTAGTTGCATTTCTGCTTGAGGTAGTGCTGGGAAGCACCTTTTGCCTTCGAAGCTTTCAGACCAGGTGCCAATCCTCTGCCAAGGCAAGACTTGAAACTGGTGACAAGGAATGGCTGTTTTTTCCTTCCCCGTCCTTCGTCGCCATGGTAAACGATTGCAGCTGCATTCGAAAGTTGTATTTTTCCTGCCCTAGCCAAGGAAAAAACTTCATGCTCTGGCTGTGCTTTTTCAAATTTTGCCCAAAAATCGGACCAAATCGCCTTTTCACGGCTTCGATCAGGTCGAAGTAGCCCACATAGCATGTGCCAACAGTTCCGATGAAGTAAAAAACGGCACCAGTCTTGTAGCTTCAGTCCTTTTACCCCGTGAGGCTTGTCAGGGTGAATGGGCACCAAATTCAAGGGAAGTCTCAGATTGTATCGGCTAAAGAACCTATGGGCATCCCGCTCTGCATTCCCATCACTGCAACCCGAGAATTCCACAAGCCCACCAGAGACACTTGCAGCAGCTTGGCCAACATCAGAAACAATGTTGCGAGCCGTTTGCACGGCCTGCCTGCTAGCAGCCTCGGATAGGTAGGGCCAACAATTTGTCGGAGAAGTGAAGGGTTCAGGTTACCAACCTTAAGCGACCAAACCCCGAAGATTAGCTAGTGTTTACCCCATACCTTAAGTAACCTAACCCCGAAAATTACAATGGGATAAAGGGTTCTGTAATCTATAGGCTTGTCTCAGTTAAAGCGCTGGTGGAAAGGGTTTCCATGCAAGCTGGCTCAAGAAAATAATGCTGTTCACTGTGGCTATACAAAGGTTTTTGGAAATAGAAGTCAGAACCAGCAGTTTCAACCCCTAATTAAAAAAACAATAATCTCCCCCAATCTGTGGGACAGACCGACTGTGGGGCACTTGCATTGATTTAGCTGCGGAACTCCTTGACCGATGTCCGCCGCAAATCCTCGGAGTGTTCTTCCAGGAGGCTTTCCTGGCACGGGTTATGGCCGGCATACCACCTCCCAGTGAAAAGGTCTAGGGGTTTAATGCTTGTGTTGCACACGATCATCGGCAATTTTTCCCTGCAACCTACGATTGCTTCAACCCCAAGTTGGGCATGGTGGAAACCACGCTCTCTCCTCCCTTTGCGCTGCCAGGTCAAAAGATTTGGACAAGAATCAAATGATTACAGTGTGAGCCTAAGATCGGAAATGTAATCACAGAACACCTGGCGCAAATGGAGACTCCATAGCCATATTGAAAGCGAATGCTTGTAGCACTCAAGCTGCAGGGTTTCCCGCAGTCCAAACAAAGTTCACAAAAGCGGCGTCTTGCCGAGCCACATCCGACGCAAACAACCTATCTCTTCTTGGAAGGTTTGGTTTTAGCAGCAGTATGCTTAGGTCTTTTAGATCCTGTGCTAGGGACAGTCTCACCCGGGCGCTTATTGGAATCGTTCTTCTCGAAATACTTCTTTGCATTCCTGTTCAGCTACACCCATTTGAAATATACAGGTTGTTGTTCCCAAAAAACAAAAGGCAGCTTAA